ACGATAAGCACAGCGAAACTCTGACCGAGTTTATGCACCTCAGGATGAGCATGGCCGCGTGCACCGCGAGAACAGACGGAACAAGCGCGAACGGAGCAGCACAGCGCGAGGTCGTGATCCGTTCACGAAGGCGCGAGCCGACTGCAACGGCTATTGTGCGAATCTATGTCAGTGCAAATCAATGTTTTGGTGCGATCTAGTGCGCTTCGGTCCGATTCAGTGCGGTTCGGTGCGGTGCAGTGCTATCTCGTGCGCCACGTATTTCTTACAGTGAGCACGGCGGCGCTCAGGTTAGCACGGACAGGAATGACGACGCTCGTGATCCGATCGCCGGGACCATTCAAGTGCGTCAGAGAGCGGCCGACTCCAATGGTTTCCGCGGAACCCAGAGCGATGCAGAGTTATGCACCACTACGGTTCAGTGCGGTTCAGGGCGATTCAGTACGATACCATAATGCATTTCTTACAATGAGCGCGGCGGCGGTGAGCGCGAGCACGGACGGAATGACGACGCTCGTGATCCGATCGCCGGGACTCTTCAAGTGCGTCAATGCGCGAGCCGACTGCAGCAGCTTCTGCTGTTCCCGAAGAGCACTGCTGACGTCCGTCATGGCGAGCGCTTCGCTCTGCTGGTTGCGAAACCAGTTGAGAAAAAAACACGATGGCGAAAACAGATGAAGAACGAAAAGATCGAGCGAGAATTATCACGTGGTAAACAGAAGACGACTGCGGTAACTCAGCAATCGGACGACGAAAAACCGAGAGAAAAAAAAAGGCATGTTGATACACTGGAAGCACAGCACTTACGGAAAGATTAATCGACGGAACGTGAGGGATGGTGGCCCGAGTCCACGAAGAGGCAGCGTAGAGGTAGCTGAACGGCAGCAACACTAGGCAGGTATCCCGAAGAATCTTTATCCTTTTGACCTCTAGGGTTCCGCCGTCGAGTCGAGCTCAGGCGGGGGAAGCTAGGGCTTGTCAGGGTGTACGCGCTGTTAGGCGATGCCTCGGCAAGGTTACGAATGCAATTGCCTGAGCCAACAAGGATTGCACTATGGGGGAAAAAAATACCGTGCAAGCGAAGGCGTGAGGTAACATTATATAGTAGGCGGGTAAAGCATGAATATTTAGCCGCTATACAGGCTTAGCACAGAGGAACGGGACTTGGCAGCGGAGCAACCAGGATGACGCCACGGAAGTGAATCCTTATGATTACAAATGCTACAAGAGGCCTCACTCACAACAACACAAGCCTCTAACAAAAAAAAAATCCACACACACATTCACCCTACTCCCCCGGGCAAGACTTTACACTAACAAACTACATCTATAAGTATTCATCCGGCTTACATGAGCATGCGCACTTATTGAACTTCACCACGACGAGCATTGCATATGTGGAAGATAACTTGAACTGGTCTTACTGCTCAGCATTAACACGCTCAGCTTCATCTATCCATTCAGAAAACCTGCGTTGAACAGAGAGGGGATAATATGATGATATATATCACCTCATTTCATGCAGAGATATGTGCATGAGTGACAGTGAACACATGATGGCAGAGAGCGAGGAATAAAGAGGAGGGGCGAATGTCATGGGTGCGTGAAAAGACAGGAGATGGATAGAGTGGAAGCATGGGCCAGAATATAATCGGAGGCAGGTCACGTACAGGTCAATCGGCTCGCTCAAATCTGTTGGTGATGCAGAGCAGCAGCACACCATGTGGAAACAAAATCAGAACGATTATGTTTACAGTCCCACGCCGCCAAGAATAAGGTGGTCCGAAGTTGTGCATTTTGTTACAGAATTTGGATGGCAAGACGGAAAAAAAGGGTCGGCAAGGAAGGTGGAGAGGAAGAAGAAAAAGAGGTTACAGGGGTTACGGGTAACTAAGCCACAACGATGAAAGCGATGCAGTAAAAACTGATGAGAATAGACGACAACCATAACAAAACTGGATGGGTGAGTGGATGGATGGATGGATGGATGGACAAACAGACGGATGGGCGGACAATTGTGCACGCACTGTCAATGGTGGTTTGGTACTGCTCGGAGCACACGCGGCACGACACCGTCCCTATGCCTGCATTTCGGTCCCTGCACGGCAACGCAATTGTCCAGCCAATCGTAAAAGTGATCGTAAGGGAGATTGGGAACAGAGAAGTGATCGAAATACAGGGACGCGATCAGACAAATGAGCCACGGATAGGCATGATAACATGCAATACTTGCTCGAGGCAAGCGGGGCAAGCGAAAGCCGCTGAAGGCGCTTCAACGGCCAGCACGCTGTGTTGGACGGAAGAGGAACGCGGCTTATGGCAGTCGGAGAGATTGAGCCAGCCGTCGCGCGAAAGGTCGTGACGTTCAGCCGTCGGGAGAATACGAAGTTATGAAGGCGTAGTGCTGCGTATAGTTACTAGTGCGATCGTTCCACGTACAGCGGACGCTCGTTCCACGTACAGTTTGCACTCGACGCTGGCCTCGTGATTGCAGAACGGGCAGTTGAAAGTCGTCGGGACCTTCTGAACCCTCCTCGCCTCGGGCTTCGCGGCCGACTTTCGCTTCCCCATTCGCAGCGACTCGGAGTCGGACGCGCAGGCGACCTGTTAGCGGCGGCACTGGACTAAAACTTCTCAGAATTCTTAAGAACTTACTGAGTCGTCTCAGAGTCACCTACTGGAGTTTGGCACTAGAGTCAGGCAAGGCGAAATAACGGCATTAAAGCAGCCTTGACTCTGTTATATTGAAATAATAATACTCGTAAAGATGAATACAACAAAGAGTACTCGTAGGCTCTGTTACGGGATGCGTAGCTGTCAGGGGCAAGAAAGAAGGCGAATGATTGATGGAAAACGAATTTGAGTGATTCTAACTCACGAGAGGCTGTGCGCAATACTTCACGGCCCTATCAGCGAATGGGAAAAAGTGGTGATGGTCTTTAATCTCTTCGCCTTACCTCCAAGCTGTGTCAGAGGTAGGGTAGGGCATTTCTTTTTTGGCCAATCAGACCAGGATACCGAGATTTGCAGTTACAGAATACACTCTGACAAGCTATTTGTTGCAAGCAGCAAAATATTGTTTGGCATGCGTTGTTGTCACAAACAGCCAGCTTCTGCCAGACCTGCATTGGTTCTTTGCCTAAAACTCCCCCTCGCTATAAGGTAGTTCGATTGCCCCCTGAACTGTTGGCAATCCCCAACCCTGATTGGTCGTCTGTTTCACTTCTCTTCCGAAAGGTAGGGTGTACCTGCTTCATGTGCCCAACCAGACTGCCTCTAAAATCTTCGTCCAGACGGAGTTTCCCCCAATGCTGACGGGAATTCTTGACTTTTTGACGGAACCTTGACGCGCGTTTGCATTGTCCACACCAGAACCATCACTCAGCACCGGGATTGACGGCAGCTTCCCGCCAAATCACCTTCACCATTTCGCATGCTGTTCATTTTTGCTTCCACTGATACAACATTCATATTCCTTGCCGTCCTACCAGCACAAATCCAGATATAGTATTTTTAGGTTGACATTAGTCGTGCGAAACTTGTTTGACTGCGCGCTTCGTAAGTAGCATCTGATCACGTCTCGGTGGCTGTAGGTCAGGTGTAACGGTCAGCGCGTCCGTTGCTGACGGTGCGATGAGCGTTCGTGATGTAGATTCGTCGTGACGATCAGTTCGTAGCTGTTCGTCGTCAGCGACGGAAACCGTCAGGTTCCGTCAGTAGCAGCCGGCACGATGCTGGACGTCGCGCCGCTCACGTTCCTCGTGGTCTTCATCGTCTGTACCGTGGGAGCATGGATAGTCTCCAAGTAAGATAATAATTTCATCATCAGCTTCTTAAACAATTTGCAGTCACTTCCGGAAACACCATAAGCTCCAGTCTCGATTCATGCGACACATTGACAGTTCACCGTGTCGTGATAGGAAAGACCGGCGCTCCAGTTGAAACCTGGCGCATTGGACCATCCCATTGATCTTGATGAATGCTTCACGATATATCTTATCAGCCATCGCTCTTCTGCCATCGCCCCGATACTCAGAATACGTTGAACCTTGTTCACTTACGCTGTCAAATCCCTGGGTGCGAATTGTTTTGAACGCAGGTTCTTCACGCAGATCGTGACCCTGGCGATCAAGGTTACCACAGGAAATTCGTTGAGCTTTCGCGTGCTTGGCCTCCTGAAAGTCAAAGACATCCATTGTGCTTTCAAAAAGGTCCGTCTCTTCCCCCTCTTCACTCCCTTCTACCCTCCTTAACTTCACACCCCCCACAAGCACCCTCCGTTCCTGTACGTTCTTGTACGAGCTCTAGAGCACACCTGTGTATCACTGACTCACCTTGTTTCCTGCTATACCCTGTCCGCCTTCTCGCTTTCCCAAGATGCATGCCACATTGTTCAATTTAATGCCATGCATTGTATAACACCACGCATTGTCTAATGCCAGTCCTAATGCCACTTTACTGCAAGAACGTAACTCTCCAGCGTACACGCCATGCCACATTGCTCCTCCTTCCCATGTCTCCCATCCCTCCCCCAACAACAGGGTCTCATACAGAGCGTGACTATACGCGAGGTGAAGAGCCACCTCGTGTGTTTTGAGTCGACTCAAAACACACTCAGAAACTCTCCCATGTCTTCCGTCCCCACCCACAATAACAGGGTCCCATACAGAGCGTGACTATACGCGAGGTGAAGGGCCACCTGGCATCCCTGAGCAGCCTCAAGGTGCACCTGCGCGTCAAGATCAAGGACGTTGACATCGTGCTCCGTCCCTCGGCCCCCCCTCCACCTCCTATTGAGGCGCCTCAAAAGCCCCCCTTCCGCTCCTCGCCCCCCTCCAGCCCCAAAAAGAGGTCTTTCTATTCGAGGTCCCTCACAAATTCTTCCATGCCTCCCCTCCCCCACCACAACAATAGGGTCCCATAGAGAGCGTGACGATACGCGAGGTGAAGGGTCACCTGGCGTCCCTCAGCAGCCTCAAAACACACTCAGAAACCTTCCCATGTCTCCCGTCCCCCGCCCACAACAACAGGGTCCTATACAGAGCGTGACTATACGCGAGGTGAAGGGCCACCTGGCATCCCTGAGCAGCCTGAAGCTGCGCCTGCGCGTCAAGATCAAGGACGTTGACATCGTGCTCCGCCCCTCGCCCCCCTCCACCTCCAAAAAGAAGAAAAAAGCCTCCAAAAACGCCTCCAGCAGCAGCGGATCCTCAGCCAAGGGTCCGGCCAGGAAGGCCGGGGCGATTGCCGCCGCCTGGGGCCGGTGGAAGCTGCTGGGAAGCTTCTCCCGGGTGGTTCGGGTGTGCCTGTTTGACGTGTCTGTGCGGTGGGCTCAGGCTCCTGACGTGTGCTTCCAGCTGAGGGAGTTCGACCTGTTCTCCACGGCTGATGCCTCAGGGAAAGGGCAGGTGGCTATGCGATTGGAGCTGCTAGGGATCTCGCTCTCCCATCGCCCCCCTCTTTCTGAGAAGAGCCCTGGGCTCCGATCCAGATCGATGAATTTGTTCAGGATTGGGGGTGGGGGTGGGGAGGAAGGGAGTGGGGAAGAGGAGTGGGATGGTGAGGGAGGAGGGAGGGGAAGAGGGAGTGTGGGAGGAGGAGGAGAGGGGAGTGGGGATGATTCGCTGCCGTTGATGCTGCTGGAGAGCTGGACGACTGACGTGGCACTAGGGTTTGACAGGTCAGCTATGACTGGAACACGTGAGCTTTGATAGAACAGGCCAGACGATTGTGCATTAAACCTGTTCAGCATGCAACCCCCCTTTTCCATTCAACCCCCCTTTCCCTGAATCCCCGTTAACTTCCATCTTGCATGGCCGTTTGCTGCCCCTTCTCCACTCGTTTTAACTCCTTGCCTAAAGTCTAGCTTGCCTTGTGCTCTTCAGCCTTCTCCCCTTCCTCCCCTCTCCTGTGTTCCTTCCTTATTGGCCGCTGCAGCTGCACTGGCCGGAGCTTGAGCTGAACCTTTCGTCCCTCTCACTCTCCTTCTCCCTCTCCCTCCCGACCCTCCCTCTCCTTCTCCATCCATCCTCTCTCCACCTCTCCCAGGGAGGTGGGCATAGCAGTGCGCCTGCTGCAGCTGCAGTGGTCGGAGCTCGAGCTGAACCTCTCCTCCCTCTCCCTCTCCAAACTCTCCATTCCCCCCCCCCCCCAGGGAGGTGGGCATAGCAGTGCGCCTGCTGCAGCTGCAGTGGTCGGAGCTCGAGCTGAACCTCTCCTCCCTCTCCCTCTCCAAACTCTCCATTTTCCCTCCCCCCCCAGGGAGGTGGGCATAGCAGTGCGCCTGCTGCAGCTGCAGTGGTCGGAGCTCGAGCTGAACCTCTCCTCCCTCTCCCTCTCCAAACTCTCCATTTTCCCTCCCCCCCCAGGGAGGTGGGCATAGCAGTGCGCCTGCTGCAGCTGCAGTGGTCGGAGCTCGAGCTGAACCTCTCCTCCCTCTCCCTCTCCAAACTCTCCATTTTCCCTCCCCCCCCAGGGAGGTGGGCATAGCAGTGCGGCAGCTACAGCTGCAGTATTCGGAGCTCGAGCTGAACCTCTCGGAGCGCCTGCTCGCCCTGCGCATCGTCAAGCCCCCCAAGCGGCCCCCTGCTTTCCAGCCTCCTGTTCCTGCCGCACCCGTGGCTGCCGTGACAATTCCTGTGCTGGTGAACGAGAGGAAGCGCCCCAACCTCCCAGAAAAGGTATGTTCTTTACCCAGGCTTGGCCTTTGAAGCCCCTTTGCCTGCTGCGCCTGTGGCTGCCACGGCAGTTCCTGTGCTGGTGAACGTTAGGAAGCGCCCCAACCTCCCGGAGAAGGTGCGTTGATGTTTTCTTGCTACTCTCAGGCCAGGGTAGGGCTGTACCTAGGCTCTGAAGCGACTTTTGAGTCGACTCAAAAGTCACCTAGGGCTGTACGTAGGCTTTGAAGCGACTTCTGAGTCGACTCAAAAGTCACCTAGGGCTGTACGTAGGCTTTGAAGCGACTTCTGAGTCGACTCAAAAGTCACCTAGGGCTGTACCTAGGCTTTGAGGCCCCTTTGCATGCCGCGCCCGTGGCTGCCACGGCAGTTCCTGTCCTGGTGAACGAGAGGAAACCTCCCAACCCCACTATCCAGAAAAGGTGTGTTGATGTTTTGTCGCCACCCAAGCTGGGCTTTTGAGCCCCCCTGCTGCTCCCATTGCCCGACCTTGTCCCCCTTGTCCTCCTGTTTGCCCCACACCCCCTGCACCAGGTGCAAGTCACCCTACCGCGCATCATGCTGCGACTGTGGCACCACCGCTGCGGCCTCTTGCTGTACAGCAGCTGCGGCCCCATCACCCTCTCCTCCACACCCCCCCTGCCCTGAATGCTCTCCCTCCCCCACCTTCCCCCCCCCCCCCCCCCCCCCCCCCCCCCCCCCCCTCCTGCACCAGGTGCAAGTCACCCTACCTCGCATCATGCTGCGTCTCTGGCACCACCGCTGCGGCCTCTTACTGCTGCACAGCAGCTGCGGCCCCATCAACCTCTCCTCCACAACCCCCCCCCCCCCCCCCTTCCCTTTTTGCACCAGGTGCAAGTCACCCTACCGCGCATCATGCTGCGTCTCTGGCACCACCGCTGTGGCCTCTTGCTGCGCAGCAGCTGCGGCCCCATCAACCTCTCCTCCTCACTCTCCCGCCCGGCGCCTGATCTCTCAGTCATCGAGGCTGATTTCAGTATCGGCATCGTGGAGGTGAGTGAGTGAGTGAGCGAGTGAGTGAGTGAGCTGATAGGGGAGATTCATTCAGGCGCTGCAGGAACATCGGTCCATGACCCTCTCCCCCACGCTCTCCCGACCAGCGCCCGATCTTTCAGTTATCGAGGCTGATTCCAGTATAGGCATTGTGGAGGTGAGTCAGCTATTGGGGGTGCTGATGGCACTGAGACAATTTTCTATGAGCCGATTTGTCGTTCCCCCGTCACCTCGCCTCTCCTGATCGCCCCTCCCCTCTCCCACTCGCTCCCCTTCTCCCACTCATTCCTCTCTTCTTCTACTCATTCGTCAATCTTCCTCTCTCCTGAAGCACCTTACCCCTCCTTGTTCGATTTCCCATTTCCCCTACTTCCCCCTTCCGTTGTCTTCCCCAAATCTGTCAATCGCCGTTGAGAAGTCTCAGAAGCTACTCCCCATCCCATCCCCCCCACCTCTTCCCTCCCCTCCCCTTTTGTTGTCTTTCTGTCACCCGTCTCCCCAGGTATTGAAGAGTGCGGAGGGCAGTGCTCTGTCTGTCACACGTGTATCTTCATCAGCATGCCTCTCCTTCCCACACTATGTGAGTCAGCCTGCCTCTTTCCCGCACTGAGTAAAACCTGCCTTTCCATTCTGCACTATGCCAGTTTACCTTGCCCACATTCCGTTGCTGTCTTCACCCGCTCTCCCCCACACGTTGTGTTTTTAGCTCTTCACCCGCCCTTACTCTGGCCTTGTGGATGGCTCTCCTTCACGTCCCTTCCTCAACCACTTTCATTTGAGCCGCTCCGCACCCACCTTCTTTTCCCTTCCCATGCATGGCTCTCCATTACTTCCCTTTATCACCACTTCCAACTGCTCGCACCTCCATTCTTCTCCACTATCTCCCCCTCTCTCAGACGGCAGAGGCAGTGTGGGCAGAGGTGCACGTGACGTGACCCTCTCAGCCGTGGACTGGCGGGTGTTTTCGCCTCTCTCGCCCCGTGCATGCCTCATCCTTTCCAACCGCTCTGCAAACCCTTTTCCCCCACTCGCAGACGGCAGAGGCAGTGCGGGCAGAGGTGGACGTGACCCTCTCAGCCGTGGACTGGCGGGTGTTCCCCGCCACTCTCGCCCCGTGGGTGGCAGCAGCACTGGAGGAGATGCGCAGGAAGAAAGCAGCAGCACTCAGGCGCCAGCACCTGCAGCTGCAGCAGGAGCTGCTGGAGCAGCAACAGCAGCAGCAGCAGGGGTATTTGGAAGGGATTCTGTCGCCTCGTGCCAAGGCCAGAGGCGCATCCCGAAAAGCTGATTCACCGCTAGGCAAGAGTGCAGTGGCAGCAGGAGAAGCAGGAGGTGGAGTAGGAGGGGGAGCAGGGGCACCAGGAGCAGCAGCAGCAGAGGCAGCAGCAGTGGTGGCGGTTCCGAAGCCAAAGAAGCCAAAGCGGCCGTTCAGGCTAGAGGCAGTGGTGGGAGCAGTGGGAGCAAAGGTCACAGTACACGATTACGACGGTACCCCTCTCTATAAGGCCTCTGCTGCCAAGTTCCACCTCTTTCTCTCCAAATCCACTGGCTCCCCCCCTGCTGCTGCTGCTGCTTCGCGTGCCTCTACTGCTTCGACCCCAATGGGGCCCGTTTCGCCTGGTTCTGCAGCTGCTGGTGCTGGTGGTGGAAAGGCAGGGTGGGGCCGCAGCAAGGGTGGGCGGTACTCGTTCCTGAGCCGGTCTGGGAGTGTTCTGGGAGGAGCAGCAGGAGGAGGAGGAGACGGAGCAGCAGCAGCGGCCAGCAGTCCTGGGGTTTCCAGGACTAGCAGCAGGGCGGAAGCAGCAGCAGCTAGGACGGGTTTTAGCAGGTCTACCAGCTGCTTTGCTGCCAGTCCCACTGGTGGTGCTGGTGGCGCTATCCCTGGTGGCGGTGGCTTTGGAAGAGCTTCTGGCTCCGCCTTCCCTTCCTCGTCCTCCGTCCCCCATGCCTCCTCTCCTGCTGCTGCTGCTGCCGCCGCCGCCGCTGCTGCTGGGCCTGGCACTGCTGCTGGTGGTGGTGAGAGTGTGTTGGAGGTTCAGGTGGAATATTCAGGCGTGCAGGTGACAAGGCTGCCCAGAGAAGAGGACTTTGCCAGGCTTGCTGAGACAGACGGTGCTGCCGGTGCTGCCGGTGCTGTCGGTGCTGCCGGTGCTGCCGGTGCTGCTGCTCCTGCTGCTCCTGCCGCTGCTGCTGCGGGTGCTTCTGCTTCTGCTGCTGCTGTGCCTCGGGAGCAGGTGTTTATTCAGGTGTCGCGCCTGGGAGTAGAGTGGGGCCCTGGGATCCCCGACAACTGGGAAGAGCTTGGGGATTCGTCAGGAGGGAAGGGAGGGGGAGGAGGGAAAGGGGACTTAGGAGGAGCAGAAGAAGGATCAGGAGGAGGAATTGGAGTAGCAGGGAGGGTAAGTTCCCCTGGTGGTGGCTCGGGTGGCGGTGCATACAGGGAGGTTGGTGGAGGGGCGAATGGGGGGACGGGGGGAGGGGGGATACTAGATAAGGTGATGATGGTGCAAGTGGGGGTGCGGGGACTCAGGCTGCGCCCCTCCTTCCCCCTCCTGGGATCGATTGCAGAGGAAGTCACTCGAGCAGAGCAGTTTGTGAAAAGGGAGAAGAAGAGAGGCGCTGGCACAGTAGGTGCTGCTGCGGGTGGGGCTGCTGACGCGACTGCTGCTGGTAAAGAGTCAGGCAAAGGGAAGAGCAAGAGCAAGAGCAAGGGCAAGGGTAAGGGCAAAGGTGTGAAGGCGTTTCGTATAGTCCTGGACGATTCTCTTCTGGAGCTGGAATGCCCGTGCACGGTGGTTGAAGCGGACGTGCTAGACCCTAAGAAAGTGCATTTCGGGGATGAGCTGGGGGAGAGAATTTTCCACCTCACCCCTGAGGGAGACCTGAGGGTGGCGAGGGTGAGGAGGTTTGAGTGGGAGGGGGCGGAGCATGCCTCTGTGGTGTGTGCGTTGCGGGTGGAGCTGCCTTCGGTGTCGGTTGGAGGGAGAGTGGGGGGGAAGCAGGTGCAGGTTGGGGTGGAAGGGGCGAGAGTGGTGTATGTGGAGAAAGGGGAGGGCGGGGAGGTGGGGAGTGCGGTGCGGAGCGGTGGAGCTGGGTGCGGGAAGGGGGGTTTGGAAGGGAAGGGAGGGGAGGAGAAGAGGGTGGGGAGGGAAGGTGGGAAGAGGCAGGATGGGGTGATAGCAGAGGTGGTGGTTTGTCGGTTACAAATGGCCCACGTGTTGCTTCGGAAAGGGCTGCTAGGTCCGGACGGAGGTCCGGCGCCGGACCGAGTGGTGGTTACCGCAGCTGGGCTGGAGGCTCGGTGGGAGCCGGACGTACAGGTGCTGGTGGTGGAGGTAGGGGAGGAGATGAAGGAGGTGACTGGTCGGAGAAAGGCTGTTATAGAGCAATGGCGGGCGATGGCAGAGAGAGAAGGGGAGACGGAGCAGGCACGGGTGAATCAGCAGCAGGCAGAGCAGAAGGCAGAGCAGGAGACGCAGCAACGGATGGCGCAGGAGCAGAAGGGAGGGAAGGGAGAGGGAGCGGGTGCAGGGAAGCTAGTCACATCAGGGGGCAGTCTGGACGCGAGTCTGCTCGGGAGGGAGGGTGGGAACCTGCTAGGTGCAGCAGCAGCAGCAGCAGCAGCAGCAGCAGCAGCAGCAGCAGCAGCAGCAGCAGCAGCCGGCATCAGCAGCAGCAACAGCAACACACCCAGGGCCAGCAGTAACAGCATGGGAGCATCTTTGCCGCCGATAGCACCCAGTGGTGGAGAGGGCAGCAGGCGCTCTGTGGGGGTTGCCAAGTCCGCTGCTGGGGTGCTGGAGGGCGGTGTAGCAGGGTTGGGAGCGGCTGGGAGCGGTGCCGGGGGTGGTGCCGGCGGTGGTATCTGGCGCAGGAACAGTGACAGCGGCGTTGGTGCTGCCACGTCAGCAGCCGGCAGTGGCGCTGCCAGCTGGCAGCAGTGGATGCCGGGAGGACACGTGGCAGGAGCACCATCATTTGCAGCATCAGATAATGCTTCTGCAGCAGCAGCGGCGGCTGTGGCAGCAGCTGCAGCTGGTGATTCCACAGCCCCGGCAAACCCGAGCAAGCCCGTGAAGGCGAAGAAGCCAAAGCCAATAGTTGTGGTGGATGTGACGGGGGTGGTGGTGACGGTGGGGATAGGCGACGAGACAGAGATGCGCGTGGAGGCCAGGGGGCTTTTCTCTGAGGACGCGGCCATGGGGGCGCTTCTGGAGGGGCTGGCGTTGCGCATCAACGGAGCCGCTATGCTCTTCAGCGAGTCATTCCAGGTGAGTCGTTCGTCTGAGGCGCCTCAGTGGTAGTGACAGACAGGGGACGAGACAGAGATGCGGGTGGAGGCCAAGGGGCTCTTCTCAGAGGACGCTGCCCTGGGGGCTCGTCTAGAGGGGCTGGCGTTGCGGACTAATGGGGCTGCCATGTTCTTCAGCGAGTTTTAGGTGAGTCGTTCGTCTGAGGCGCCTCAAGGATTGTATGGATAGGCGACAAGACAGAGATGTGTGTGGAGGCCAGGGTAATGTTCTCTGAAGACATTATATGTGTCAATCCAGCTGTTGCCCCCCCCATCCTTTCCCACTCCCCCACTCCCCGCCCTCGGCCTCCCGCCAGGTTTCTCGTGTGCCGAGTGGTGGTGGCTCCTCCCTCCGCCCCTTCCCACAGCCAGGAGCGATCGCAGCAACAGTGTGGGATTACGTCAACCAGGCGAGCTCGTCGCGCTTCATCCTGCCTCCTCCCCTTCCTTCCCCTCTCCTCCCCGCCCTCCGCCCAGGTCTCTCGTGTGCCGAGTGCAACGCCAGTGGTGGTTGCGCTTCCCGCCGCCCCTCTACTACAGCCAGGAGAGAGCGCACCCACAGTGTGGGACTACGTCATCCAGGCGAGCTCATCGCGCTTCATCCTGCCGTTGCAGTTTGAGGTGTGGGCCGTGGAGGACAGTGCAGAGGACATGATGCGCGTGCTCAAGGCCTCCCCTCCCCTCCAATCCCCTCCCCGCCCTCCCCCCAGGTTTCTCGAGTGCCCAGCGCAACCCCAGTGGTGGTGGCTCCCCCCTCTGCCCCCCCACCACAGCCAGAGGAAGGCGCTTCTGCCTCTGGTGGTGGTACCGTGTGGGACTATGTGATCCAGGCGAGCTCAGCGCGCTTCATCCTGCCGTTCCAGTTTGAGGTGCGGGCCGTGGAGGACAGTGCAGAGGACATGATGCGCGTGCTCAAGGCTGTCACTGCCGCCCAGAAGATGGCTCGACAGGCCCGCCGCTTGCGCCAGGGGAGAGCTGCTGCTGCTGCTGGTTCAGGCCCGGCAGCAGCAGTGGCCGATTCAGCAGCCCCGGCTGCTGCAACAGCTGCAGCTGCCGCCGCCACTGCTGCTGCTGCTGCTGGGTCAGGCCCGGCAGCAGCAGTGGGCGATCCAGCCGCCCTGGCCGCCGCAACAGCTGCAGCCGCCACAGCAGCAGAGGCAGAGGGCGTCCTTCCCCCCACCATCCCCTCCTCCTCTTCCGCCCCCAAGCCCAAGAAGCCCCCTGCGCGTCAGAAAGGCCTCATACGCCTTATAGTGAAGGAGCTGCTTTTAGAGGTGGAGGAGGAGCCGATTCAAGGGTGGTTGGATGAGAGGAGACAGCTGATGAGATCGCTGGTGGAAGATAAGTTGGTGAGGGAGAGATTGCTGGAGGAAGAGGAGGAGAATCTCATGGGCGGGGATATTTTTCCCGCTGGCTTGGAGGGGCTTGTTGGGGAGGTAGCAGGGGGGGGGGATGGGGAGAAGTCTCCTCAGGATGTGAGAGGAGGAGTGGGAGGAGCAGGGGGGAAAGGGGTGAGTCCGCAAGTGTTGGCAGCAGCAGCGGCTGCAGCAGAAGCTGTTGGGGCTACGCAGGTGACGGGTGAAACGAAGGGAACTGCGGTCAGGTTGAAACTTTTCCGGGAACGTTTCCAGGCTGCCCGGGAGGATCTGCACCGGCGGGCATCCCTGGCGTACAAAGCAGCGTGCGAAAACCTTGTGAAGGATCCGGGCACGGGCTGGGCGTATAAAATCGGGCTGAATGAAAAGTTTCCGATGACCACCACCCGAAGAAGCGCTGCTAGCTTGTGGTTCGCGTTTGCAGAGCTGGCTCTGATACCAATAGAGCACGGCCGGCAAGGCATGGTGGCTAAAATCCGTGAGCTAGACACGGTTCCTGCTTCCGATAAGGTCCCCATTGCTAGGATGTACGGGCGGGCAGTGGAGCTTTCGTGTGTGGGGCTGAAATTCTCTCTGAGGGATTTCCCGCTACCGCTGTTTGCGGCGGCTTCCGGGAAGCTTCGTGCAACGGCGATCATGGCAGCCCAGGCCACGGTGCACCAGCCGCAGCAGAAGTCCGACGTGTTTCTCGGAAGGTTCCGCCGGGTGAAGGTGCTGCGAACGGCCAGTGGCGCCACGCCTCCGTTGAAATTCTATTATGAAGCCGAGGCGGAGTTTGAATCGGCTGATCTGTCGTACGGGGTGGGGTATGAACCCATGCTGTTCGCCGACGTGAGTCACGCGGTAACGTGCGCTGTGAGGAAGGGGCAGCCGACGACGAGGCAGGGGAAGGTGATTGCGGCGGCAGCGGCGGCGGCAGCAGCAGCTGGGGTACCCTATCCTCCGGTGCAAAACACCCTCTCGGTGCCTGCTCTTGCAGCTGCGGCGGATCCTGCTGCGGCTCCTCCTGTGTGGCCGCCTGTGGAGAGAAGCTTGCCGTGGTGGGACATTATGAGGTACTACATGCATGGGCAAGCGCAGCTCGTAGCGCTTGACTATCAGGTGTTTCTTCAGGCTACTGTGGATCCGTACGAGCAGAACGACATGCTCACGCTGGTGGGGTCTCGGCTCGTGTTTTCGCAGAAGAAAGGGCAGATGTTTGTGCGAGGGGAGGATTTAGAAGCGCACATGTCGAGCGTTCCGGAGGATCCGTTAAGGAAGGCTGACGCGTGGGTGAGAGAGGGGGGATCAGGCGGGATCGGGAGGGGGACAGGCGGTGGGGGCGAGGGCGGGCGGTGGGAGGGAGACGAGTTCCTCCGGGCACCTGCTATAGAGACGCCGGTTCTGGAGCTGGATATTCGGATAGACTGGGAGGTGGAGGGGAATGGGGACGCGTGTGCACATTATTTGCACGCGCTGCCGACAGAACCAGGCATGCGGAAGGTTTTGTATGATCCGTTTAGGTCTGTGGGGATGAACTTTCGCTGGGACTGGCGGTTTTTGTCTAAGGAGCAGGCGAGGGTGATTCACAGCAAAGGGGAGAAGAAAGAGAAGAGCAGTGTGGGTGGCGGTGGGGTGAGGGTGGGTCGGAACAGCAGTGCCGTTGATCTCCGAGTTGGTGGCCCCACTGCTGCTGCTGCTGGCGCTGCTAGTGTTGGCAGCGATGCTGCTGCGGCTGCTGCTACTGCTGCGGGTGCATCTGGTGTTTTAGGCAGGCACGCACATGGATCACCAGCAGGACCAGCCATACCGCGCTCCACCTCTCTGTCTTCTGCTTCGTTCTCCCGGGCCTCCTCCTCCTCCCACCGCTTCCCCGACGACGAAGATTTCTTCTCGGGCAGCTCAACTGCCCACCGATCGGCGTCCAGCACCAGCGGCGGGTCGTTCTCGTCCGTTGGATTCGAACCCGGGGCTGAGTCAGCCTCAGGAGCGGGTTTGAGTGCAAGTGGGCGTTTGCATTCGCAGAGACACAGGAGAACGTCGTCAGGCAGTATGCCTTGGCATGTGGAAGCGGGGAATTGGGAAGGCGGAGGAGAAGGAGGGGGAGGAGGAGGTGGGGGTGCAGGTGCTGCCGTGGCTGGCGGTTTTGACAGCCCACGCATCGGAGGAGGAGGAATCGGAGGAAGCGGAGGAAGCGGAGGAATCGGAGGAAGCGGAGGGATTGGGGGAGGGTTTGAGGTTGCTGGTGGGGGTGTCCGTCAGCCAACGTTCAACCTGGCAAGCCACGACATCAAGTGGCTGTTCAAATTCTACAACCTCATGTATCTCTCCTCCCACAAGCTCCGGAACTTCGGCCGCCGCCGCTACGGCATCGCGAGGAAGGCCAAATCCGGGAACCTGAACCTCAGCCAGGTGATGTCTGAGATGCTGATCCGCCTGCACATTGCCCCGGGCGCGTGGCGGCATTATTCGTTCCGGAACCCGGACCCGGCGGAGGGGTTGGTGTTGCTGGTGGATGAGTTGGTGTATGAGTTGTGCTACAGCCGGAATTTGAAGGCGTGGGATGGGAAGACGAGAAGGCCGAGTTTTAAGACGGCTCATACGGGGCTGGATGTTGTGCGGATGAGGATTGTGGTGGAAGAGCCGGGGAGTGGGGAGGGGGAAGGGGATGGGCAGGAGGGTGGGAGTGGAGGGATGGAGGGGGGTGGAGGAGGGGGAGGGGGAGTGGGGAGAGGGGGTGTTGGTGGGACGAGTGGGCGGGTTTTGGAAGGGGATGAAGCTTCTGAGAAGATTCTGGAGTTGTTGATGGGGGAGGATGAGGTGGGGGGAGGGGGAAGGGAGGGGGTGTTGGGAGGGGTGGCGGGGAGGGGCCTATCGAGGAAAGGGCTGGTTACCAGACGAAGCACTGGAGGCAGCAGCTTCAGATGGGGCGGAGGAGAAGGATTGGGAGGGGTACTGGGAGAGGAAGCAGGCGGGGGGAGGGGCACAGGGGCAGCAGGATTCAGGAGCGGCAGCAGCGTGGGGGGCGGGACGGTGGGGGAAGGATGGACGAAGGCTGATCAGAGCTTCTTGATGTCATGTGATGGGGTTATGATCCGCAAGCAAGCGCCTGACGGGAATGCGGAGCAGATTCAGAAGTGGCGCGTGGGGGAGGGGTGGAAGGGTTGGCTCATGGGGGCTGCAGGAGGAGGCGGGGAGGGGAGCAGCAGAGGGGGGTTGAGCAGGAGTAAGAAAGGGAGCAGCAGCCGTATCAGCGATTTTGCAGCGGAGGAGGAGGAGGGCTCGGAGAGTGACGGGGACGAGGGGGAGGAGGAGGATGAGGAGGAGGGGGGGCGGGGAGGGGGAGGAAGAGGGGGAGGCGGAGCAGGATCTAGCTGACATTCTTGCTTTACTAGTAGCAGACGATTGTTGGAGGATCCTGGTTCCAGGGCTGAGGCTCCTCCTCACCATCCGCAACCGAGACGCTCTGTGGGCGTGGATGGCGGAGTTCCAGCGCGGATTCGCGTCAGACAAGCCGTCCCCGTCGCGCCAGCTGGCGCAACGCAAGAGGCTGGAGGCGGCGGGGGGGGTGCCGCCGCCGGTGGTGGGGGCGGCGCTGGTGGCGGCGCAAGTGGCGGCGCAGATCGCTGCGGAGAAGGCGGAAAAGGAGGCGGCAAAGGCTGCTGCTGCTGCTGCTGAGGCTGCGGCGGGAGCGGCGCAAGCGCAAGCCAAGGCAGCAGGAGAGGGGGGGGGGAGTGGCGGAGGTGGGACAGGCGGGAGCGGGAGGTGGTGTGGTTGGTGGTGGTGCTTCTGGTGGTGATGGTGAGGGTGGAGGGGGAAGGGGAGGGATGGGGGATGGGGCGGCGGGTATGGGGATGGGGGGAGAGGAGGATAACTGCACGTTGAACTACATGATCAACATCATTCGGCCGCAGTTCAACTTTCACTCTGAAGATGCGCATGTGAGTATGATCTTCTGAAATTCGCGTGTATTGAGTTGAGTTAAAAGGTGTATTTGGAGGCGACTTGGTCAGGATACAGGACGATAATCGCACGTTGAACTACATGATCAGCATCATTCGGCCTCAGTTCAACTTCCACTCTGAAGATGCACATGTGAGTGTGATATTGTGAAATAATGGTGAGTGAGCTGAGCCGTGTATTGAGTCGAGTGAAAGGGTGTATTTTGGATCGACTCAGTCAGGATACACAAGGAGAATTGCACGTTGAACAAGATTATCAGAATTATTCATTACCCGCAGTTCAACTTCCACTCTCAAGACGTGCACGAGAGTTATAGTCAGAAAAATGGTCATGCAGTATGCATATATGAGTTATAGATTGAAAAATGGTCATTGCAGTCTATGTTGGAAAAAACGCGTATTGCGTTTTTCACGCAAGCGTTTTTTCCAGAGAGTATATACGAGAAACGCGAGAATATGAGAGGCATATACGCAGCAAAAACGCAGGTCCGGGCAGGGGTAAAAAAGTTTCGGGGCAGCGAAAAAAACCATGTTTAGGGGGGGGGGGGGTTAAAAAAAAAAACTCCCATCACATTTTATTAATACGCCTACTACAAAAGAAAATGACCGACTAGACATTCCACGTTAGCATCACTACCTCTTTCCCTCTCCCTACAGGACACTATTCTCATACTACTACATAGTGCATCCTACACCCCCCCCCCGCCCCTTGTTGCATTGCACCTACTACACATCAAGGTACTTCCACCTCCCCCACGGCAGGAAAGCAAGCACTTCTCAAATTGAGGACTACTCATACTCATCGTTCATGATGACATCCTCCCCCTGGTCCGCCTCCTCCTCCCACCCCTCTTCTGCCACCTTGTACCCCTCGGGAAGGGGAGGGGCCTCAATGTTGCCCGTGACCACCCCCTGGCCCTCCGGGACGGTGTACCAGTTGTGCACAACTTTCCAGTTGTGCGCAACGTACACCAAATCCCGGCACTTTTCAGAGCCAAGGCGGTTGCGCTTGGCGGTGTACACCCCGTCCCACACCGCCCAATTCCGCTCGCACGACGAGGCGGACACGGGCTGCGTGAGCGAGCGGCATGCGAGCGTCGCCAGGTGAGGGTAGTCCGTCACGTGCCACTCCCACCACTGGAGAGCAGTGTGGGTCCCTGCTTTCACAGCTTCGCGATCAGCAATCGCTGCAGGCATGCCGAAACTCCCCTCCAGGTTCAGGAATGCCGTGAGCCCTTCCTGCAAGACAAGGGAGGCACGACGCTCTTCACCATCCTTGCTTGTGATGGTGACATCGTCGTAGTGCTTGGAGATGTAGGCTTTCAGAACACGGGTGCACTCCACGTCGTTGCGGAAAATGCCCTCCTCCTGGTTGGCCGGGTTTAAAATTCGGCCAACCACATGCATGGGGCATGCCAAACCCTCATCCCACCTTGCCTTCACAATCTTCCTGATCTCCCCCATCTCCCCCCGCGTCAGGAACTCGTCGCCCTTCGCCTCGAGGATGTCGTGCACATCCTCGGTGAGCTGCAGCATCAAGTCGTAAAGCCGCCCCATCATCCCTTTGGCGGTGCCGTCCGTGGCGCACATCACCTTGAAGGGAGCCTCCATCAGCACCGTGAAGAATTCGGCCACCTTCCACCATTCCGAGTCGAGGATGTACCCGTGAAACACCTCCGCGCTCGCCCTCCTTCCCCCTGTCGCCCAAGGCCGCCATTCCTCGCTCAAGACCATCTGCAGCAGAGACATGCGGAGCTCGACCAGGCGTGAGACCGCGATGAACTGGGTCCCGAAGCGGGTCCCCGCAGGCTTGAGAACCTGCTTGCCTTTGCCGTCGTTGACGAGGGGGCTCCGCAAGTAGCCACGCGTGAAGTGGTGGCTACGAACGAAGTTTATGATCTCGGCCGCCCGCGTGACCACCACCCTCGCCCAATTCATCTTCCCAATGTCCTCCATGAGGAGATCGAGGACATGGGTCGCGCACGGGACTTGTTCGAGGTGTGGGAACTCCACCATGAGTTCCCGGCATGCCGCAGCGTAGTTCGAGCCTCCATCCATGCAGAGTGCCACCACGTTCTCGGCTCCCACCTTTTGAATGATCGGCCTCAACATCCCCGCAATGTAGCCGCCTGTTTTCACCTCCATCTGTGTGTCGACCGCTTCGGTGAAGACGGCGCCGCTGTCGTTTATGAGCAGCACGTTTGCTTGTGGGCGGCCCGAGGCGTCGGTCATCATGTCTGAAGCGATGGTGACGCCGTTACGGCGCCAGCTTGCGGCGATCGGCGCAAGAGCGACCTCGATGTGTTGCCGGCAGTTTCGGAGGCCGGCTCCTCCGATGAAGCGTCGCTTCGGTGGCGTGTATGAACCACCCGCGCGTGCGATGCAGGAAACCGCGTTGCGCCACAGTGGGTGGTCTGCATGATGCTCGGGAAGACGGAGGGCCGCGAAGAGAAGGCAAATTGAGTCATCCGCCTCCTTCTTAGCGCACGTAGATTCATCGCCGTAGAAGTCCGTCATGCGACTCTTTTTTGGCGCGCCCGCAGAGTTGGAAACCGCGGCAATAGCGGATCGCTCCGCCGATCGCTTGTTGTCGCGGGCCTTCTGCTTGTCCTCGTAAACCGCCTTGACGCCATCACGCGCCGACTTCGGCGCGTCGGAGCACAAGCGCACTTCACGACGCCGCATGCCGTTCCAGCCGGTGATGTGCTGGGCGCACCGGTACATCCCGCCGTTGAACTTGAATGCACAATAAGCGCATACCTTGGACGCGGTGAGGGCGTTATCCACACCCACAGCAACCTTGAAGTGCTTGAACACGGCGTGGTCACTGTCCATGATGTACAGGGGAGTGCTCTCGCACTCGACGGAACTACCACGAGGAGCTGAAGTCGGGTTGCTGGGAGGAGTCATTTCTGCAACGGAAGCCATGCTTCCAAAACGCTAGAACAACTACTAATCTGAGAGAGGAATGATTGACGAGTGAAGGAACGCCTTCATTTATGCCTGGAAAGAAGAGGTTTGGGGATGAACTGCCAGACATCATTTGGTTGGAAGGGGTTGGAAGTGAATGCGGTGAAGTGGGTTGTGCAGGGGTGTAACATTTGTGGGGTCGCGACTCGGGGAGCACGAAATCGAAATTGGTGAGCAAGTAACTCGATTTTGGCCCGCACGTAATTCGATTTCGCGATACGCAGAAAACGACCAGAATACGCACCTTTTTTTTTTTAGGTCTGCCCGTGCGGATTTTTGCGTTTCTACACCAAAAACGCAGCGTACGCGTTTTTGGTGCGTTTATACTCAAAACGCAACTGAACTTTAGCGTTTTTTCCAACATAGATTGCAGTATGCATATATGAGTTATAGATTGAAAAATGGTCATTGCAGTATCCCAATAAGGCTGGCCCCGTACTCGATTGCATCTCCCACCTTCCCACAAGACTTACACCACTTCATTTTTTTCCCCTCTTTCTCTTCTCATCTCCTCCCTCCAGGGTTGCTTCCTCCTCACTGCCAAGAGTGGCCGCATGTTTGCGTGCACCTTCCACTCAGTCTTCACAGACTCATTTCCCTTCACCTCCCCCCCGCTCCTCTCCCAATCCACTTGCTTCCTCCTCACTGCCAAGAGCAGCCGTGTGCTCGCGTGCACCTCCCACTCACTCTTCACAGACTCATACCCGCTGGCTTTCCTCCCTTTTCTATCTCCCCTCATCTTCCCCCCACCTCTACACCCACATCCCAGGGTCGTTTCCTCCTTGCTGCCAAGAGCGGGCGTGTGCTCGCTCGCACCTTCCACTCAGTCTTCACGGACTCATACCCGCTGATTTTCCTCCCTTTCTATCTTTCTTCATCTTTCCCTCCCTCTCCATGCACCCCGCCAATAGGGTCGCTTCCTCCTGGCTGCCAAGAGCGGCCGTGTGCTCGCCCGCACCTTCCACTCAGTCTTTGCCGGGGCCATCGAGGCCCTTGCTGCCATCACTCCCCCTCCCCCTCCTCCTCCTCCTCCCTCCTCCTCCATCTCCTCCGCTCCTCCTACTCTTTCCAGCACCGGCACCCCTCCCTCCACCGTCCCTCCTTCCCCCTCCTCCGCCTCCCATGCTTCTACCTCGTCCTCCTCCGCCCCTCCTCTCTCCGCCCTTAGTATTTCAGACTCCACTCCTCTTGTACCTGGCTCAGTGGCAGCAGGAACAGCAGGAGCAGCAGCAGTGCCAGTGGCAGCACAAGCAGGAGGAGCAGGGGACAGCACAGGGGCAGGAGTAGCGGCAGGGATAGGAGCAGGAGGAGCAGGAGAAGGAGTGGTATTGGCAGGAGGAGCTTCAGCAGTAGCCGGAGCAGCAGCAGCAACGCCAGCAGCAGCAGCAGCAGCAGCAGCAGCAGCAGCAGCAGCAGCATCTCTCGCCCCTCCTCCACCGCACACATCTGACATCATGCCAGGGTTTGGTGATGACCTGGACACGATCCAGTGGAACCGGCACGAGCTGGCAGTCATGCTGGAGAACGTGCAGGCCTACGTGGCACCCACTGACGTGGACCTGACAGCTGGCGTGCAGTGGTTGGCTCATGTGCCCATGGGGGCGGGGAGGAGGGGGGGAGGGAGGGGTGGGAAGGGGAGGAGGCGGGGTGGGGGGATGGTTGGGAGGGGATCGGAAGGAAATCTTGCTAGTGGGAGTGCTGCTGGTGGTGACAGTGGTGGGAATGGGGATGGTGATGATGCTGGTGCTGGGCCGAGCGGAGTGCTGATGCTGGGAAGAGGGGCTGCTAGTAATGGGGATATGGAGGGAAGTCACCTACTGAAGCAGGTGTTTCAACCTTGCACCATGTACCTGGAGTATACGCGATACAAGAGCGGGTCTCAGGGTGCCCAGGTGAGGAACACGCAGTGATGAGCACAACAAACCCCCTTGCACTTCCACCCCCTTGCACCATGTACCTGGAGTATACGCGATACAAGAGTGGGTCTCAGGGTGCCCAGGTGAGGAACACATGATGATCACAGAACACCATGCACCATGCACCATGCACCATGCACCATGCACCATGCACCATGCACCATGCACCATGCACCATGCACCATGCACCATGCACCATGCACCTGCACCATGCACCATGCACCATGCACCATGCACCATGCACCATGCACCTGCACCATGCACCATGCACCATGCACCATGCACCATGCACCACGCACCATGCACCATGCACCTGCAATATATCCACTTTCCCTCTGAATCCTTTCCTTAGCCCTGAAGGACGTGACTATCAGCTACACGGCCATCGTGACACTCTCTTCCCGTTTTACCCTTTCATCCATTGCAGAAGAAGCCGCTGAAGGAAGTGAGTTTCAGTGTGCCCAACGTCACATCACAGCCACCGTGACCTCCCAATCACCTTGTGTGTGTGCTTGCTTGCCCCCTTCCCCTATCACCCATTGCAGAAGAAGCCGCTAAAGGAAGTGAGTTTCAGTGTGTCCAACAGCACATCACAGCCACCGTGACCTCCCAATCACCTTGTGTGTGTGCTTGCTTGCCCCCTTCCCCTATCACCCATTGCAGAAGAAGCCGCTAAAGGAAGTGAGTTTCAGTGTGCCCAACAGCACATCACAGCCACCGTGACCTCCCAATCACCTTGTGTGTGTGCTTGCTTGCCCCCTTCCCCTATCACCCATTGCAGAAGAAGCCGCTAAAGGAAGTGAGTTTCAGTGTGCCCAACATCACAGCCACCATGACCTCCCAGCAGTTCCAAACACTCACCGATATCATCATGAACCTCGCTCTTGCGCCCACGCCCAAGTGAGTTGTAGCACTTACATATGCGATTTATAAGCAAGCAGCAACAATGTGGCATGCCATCACTGCTTTCACTTCCACACCCTCACCGACCTCATCATACACCTCGCCCTTGCGCCCACGCCCCAAGTGAGTTGCTTGCACCACTCACGTGATGCGCCGTATAAGCAAGCAACAGCTCAGGACGTGTTCACTCCTCTCACTTCCAGACCCTTACCAACATCATCATCATGCATTTCCCAATCTAACTTCAAGTAAGTAACAGTACTCGGAGTTCCCGAGGTGAGAGCGGAGGTGGCTCAGCGGGCAGTCAACGCCCTCATCCAGGACCTCTGGGGGAGGAGAGGAGTGCGAGTCTTGACCCTCGTGCTCCCTCTATTCCCATGCACACACTCACTTCTCCTCTCCTCCCGGAACCCCCTCACTCCCCCCTCTTCCCCTTCCTGTATCCTGGTTGAAGAAACCAAAAGTGCGTCCTGGTGCAGACAAGGATGAAGAAAAGGAGGAGTACGGATCCCGGGCCGATGGAGTTCCCAAGGTGGGGGCGGCAGAGGTGAAAGCAGAGGTGGCACAACGGGCAGTCAACGCCCTCATCCAGGACCTCTGGAGGACGAGAGGAGTGCAGGTCTTGACCCTCGAGTTTCCTCCCTTCACATGCACGCACTCACTTAACCTCCCCGGACCCCCTCCCCTCCCCCTTCTCTTTCTCTCTCCCCTTCCCACCCCCCTCCCGCTTGAATTCAGGTTGAAGAAACCGAAGGTACGGCCAGACGCAGACGAGGAGGAGGAGGAAGAGGAAGAATACGGATCTCGGCCTGACGGAGTTCCCGAGGTGGAGGCGGCAGAGGTGAAGGCGGAGGTGGCGCAGCGGGCAGTCAACGCCCTCATCCAGGACCTCTGGAGCACCGTGGCACAGGACTTGACCCTCGGGTTTCCTCCCTTTCCATGCGCTTCCCTCCCCCCCATCCCGCCGCCATTCAGGTTGAAGAAGCCAAAGGTGCGGCCCGATGCAGACGAGGAAGAGGAGGAAGAGGAGGAGTACGGATCCCGACCAGACGGAGTTCCCGAGGTGGAGGCGGCAGAGGTGAAGGCGGAGGTGGCGCAGCGGGCAGTCAACGCCCTCATCCAGGACCTCTGGAGCACCGTGGCACAGGACTTGACCCTCGGGTTTCCTCCCTTTCCATGCGCTTCCCTCCCCCCCATCCCGCCGCCATTCAGGTTGAAGAAGCCAAAGGTGCGGCCCGATGCAGACGAGGAAGAGGAGGAAGAGGAGGAGTACGGATCCCGACCAGACGGAGTTCCCGAGGTGGAGGCGGCAGAGGTGAAGGCGGAGGTGGCGCAGCGGGCAGTGAACGCCCTCATCCAGGACCTCTGGAGCACAGCCTCTCTCACCGCCTCCAGGGCTCACGGGCCCGAGCTGGCGTTTGCTGGGAGCTGGGACGGAGGAGGAGGGGGAGGAGGGAATGCGGGTGTGTTTGGGTCGGGGCGGCTGGTTTTGGAGGAGGAGGATCCGAACCACAAGAGCCTTGTGCTCGCGCCGCCCATGGTGCTGGTGAGTGCCGCCCACTGTGCTGGTGAGTGCCGCCCACTGTGCTGGTGAGTGCCGCCCACTGTGCTGGTGAGTGCCGCCCACTGTGCTGGTGAGTGCCGCCCATGGTGCTGGTGAGTGCCGCCCATGGTGCTGGTGAGTGCCGCCCATGGTGCTGGTGAGTGCCGCCCATGGTGCTGGTGAGTGTTTCGCTCCCCTGGTGGCTGGTTGCTCGTGTCCATGCTCCAGCCAGCATGACTTTTGAGGCCCCCCAAACGTTGGATTGGAGTTGGACTCGAAAATTTCGAGGCGACGTATTTTTCCAGTTGACTACAAAATGTTGGATGCTGGGCCCTCATAGCATCTAAGGCCCTACACTCTCTGCTTTTGAGACGTCTGCCTCACGACTTGCTTGCTGTTCTAACCCTCAGTCCCTTGGCGTTTTGTTTTGTTTTCGCCTGTTCCGCCCACCCATGCAACTCGCTGCTTTCAAGGGAGAGTCTTTGAACACAAAGCTGATTCGCAGGTGGTTTTTTTTGCGCAGAGCTCGTTTTCGTTTCTCCGTTGTCACCATGCTCTCATGCTCTCATCCTCTCATCCTCTCACTCACTCACCTCAGGTCGCTGCTCTCAAAGGAGAGTACCTCGTGCGCAGAGCATACGTGCAGGTTTCTTTTTTGAGACGGCTATTTATTGGTATTTTCCCCTCGTCATCCTTTCATCCTCGCATCCTCTCTTCTCATCCTCTCATCCCCAGGTCGCTGCTCTCAAAGGAGAGTACCTCGTGCGCAGAGCATACGTGCAGGTTTCTTTTTTGAGACGGCTATTTATTGGTATTTTCCCCTCGTCATCCTTTCATCCTCGCATCCTCTCTTCTCATCCTCTCATCCCCAGGTCGCTGCTCTCAAAGGAGAGTACCTCGTGCGCAGAGCTTACTTGCGGGCGGCGAGGCAGGAGTGCCGGGCGGCGGTGGGGCGGGCGGCACGGCAGCAGCGGGAGAAGCAGAAGCAGCCGTCGTCAGCAGTGGCTGTGATATGGACCATCGACCGGGCGGCGTGGTCGCTGCTGAGTGATGGGCACGTGTTTGCAGAGGCTGAGATCCAACACATGGTGAGAGGCTGTGGAGGGGGATACTGGGAGATGGGTTTGCACTGCACTGAGTGATGGCCATGGCCACGTGGACTGCACTGCACTGCAACTCACTCAGCGCAGTGCACTGCACTGAGAAATGGCCATGGCCACGTGGACAGGGACTTCAGTGACATAGGCATCGTATGGCTCTCCATGTTGCACCCCCTCTCCCTCCCCCCACTCTTTTGCCCTTTTTACCACACACCGTCTCCCCCTCCCCTCCACCTTCCCACATCAGTTGCTCAACGTGGACAGGGACTTGAGTGACATAGGCATGGCATGCTTCTCAATGTTGCACCCCCTCTCCACATCCCCCCCCCCCCCCCACCACCTCTTTTTCGCCCTTTTTACCACACATCGTCTTCCTCCCCCCTGCTCCCCTTTCATTTCCTATCAGTTGCTCAACGTGGACAGGGATTTCAACGACATAGGCATGCATGGCGTGCTTCGTCATCAAGTCCATCGCCGTGCGCAACTGCGTCTTGAAGAAGCCAAGTCCCATATACCTGACCTAACCCCCCCTCCTTCCCCCTCCCCCTCCCCACCACCACATCAGCTTCTCAACGTGGACAGGGATTTCAACGACATAGGCATGGCGTGCTTTGTCATCAAGGCAATCGCTGTGTGCGCAACTATTTGGTCTCCGCCCTTTCTCACTTCCCCATCCACGTCCCCCCTTTCCCACACTGCTTGCCCCACTCACCATCTGCCCTCCACCACCACACCAGCTCCTGAACGTCGACAGGGATTTCAACGACATAGGCATGGCGTGCTTCGTCATCAAGTCCATTGCCGTGCGCAACTGCCTGCCTCAAGCCAAGTCGCGCCTCGTGCTCTCTGCCTGGAACCCTCCTCCCGACTGGTCCCGGTCAGTACCTGCCCTACAGTCCCCCCCCTTTCACTGCCCACATTTCGTTTCCCGTCCCCCACTCCTATAAGCCAAGTCACGCCTCGTGCTCTCCGCCTGGAACCCTCCTCCCGACTGGTCCCGGTCAGTACCTGCCCTACAGTCCCCCCCCTTTCACTGCCCACATTTCGTTTCCCGTCCCCCACTCCTATAAGCCAAGTCACGCCTCGTGCTCTCCGCCTGGAACCCTCCTCCCGACTGGTCCCGGTCAGTACCTGCCCTACAGTCCCCCCCCCTTTCACTGCCCACATTTCGTTTCCCGTCCCCCACTCCTATAAGCCAAGTCACGCCTCGTGCTCTCCGCCTGGAACCCTCCTCCCGACTGGTCCCGGTCAGTACCTGCCCTACAGTCCCCCCCCTTTCACTGCCCACATTTCGTTTCCCGTCCCCCACTCCTATAAGCCAAGTCACGCCTCGTGCTCTCCGCCTGGAACCCTCCTCCCGACTGGTCCCGGTCAGTGCTTGCCCTTCAATCTCACCATTTCCCCCCGCACCCCTCCATACACCACACACATCCCATATATCTCTAGTGTCGTTCTCAGAACCTCTTTCAAAAAGCTGGTTGTGATTCCTTCCTTTTCATCCTCCCTCTTGTTCCCCCCTCCCAGTTTTCTCATTCCCCCTCTTTCCCCCCGTCCTCCGTCACCCCCCACGCTCCCCCTACGTGCTCTCCATGTTGCAGACATGCCATGATTCGAGTGGTGGGTAAGATAGGCAAGCCTGTGGATGGTGTCTCACTCATTTCCTTTCTTCTCCCCCATCCACCGTTTTCCCATGCCCTCCCACGCCCTCCCATGCCCCTTGGCCATGCAGACATGCCATGATTCGAGTGGTGGGGAAGATAGGCAAGCCTGTCGACGGCGTCTCCCCCATTGAGACCTTTGAGGTGAGATGAAACGCCTCAGGTGAGATGAAACGCCTGAGGCTGACATGAAACGCCTCAGGTGAGACGAAAACGCATGAAGTGAGATGCAACACCCAAGGTGGGAAAATTCTCCATGGTGTTTACCACTTGCTGCCACTTCCCTCTGCCTTGGCAATTTGATGGAGGTCTACCCGCCCCGCCCCGTCCCGTCCACCTGACAGAGCAGACGTTCGTTTGTGAGACGTGTCGAAAACCACTTACTCACCTGGGATGTGTGTGCATGAGCAGGAGGAGATCTACCCGCCCCGCATCTACCTGAAAGAGCAGATGTACCGAGTGGTGTGGGTAGGAAATGTCTCAAATTAATGGATCAATTATTTGCCTGTGTGTGCATGTATGTGCATGTCTGAACGCGTGCGTGTGTGAGCAGGTGGAGATCTACCCGCTGCGCATCTACCTGACAGAGCAGATGTGTGCTTCTGTGAGGCATGTCAAGTAGTTCGTTAACTCACTATGTGAGCATGTGTGTGTGCGTGCGTGCGTGCATACGTGTCCATCCAGGTGGAGATCTACCCGCTGCGCATCTACCTGACAGAGCAGATGTATCGAGTGGTGTGGGACTATCTCTTTGCCAAGGAGCCAGACGAGCAGCTCAGGAAGCAGGTCAGCTCATACTACCCCTTGGTACCTCCTGATACCACTTGATACCATAGAAGTTTTGCGAAATATCAGAAGCAGTTCCAACAGAGCAGATGTACTGGGTGGTGTGGGACTATCTCTTTGCCAAGGAGCCCGACGAACAGCTCCGGAAGCAGGTCAGCTCCTTATACCTCTTGGCACCTCATGAGACCTCTTGGAACCTCTTCATACCTTTTGATACCACATGTTACTGTTTGAGGCATGGGGCCCGTAGCCCTCTTAGTGAAGCAGAAGGACAGGCGCCGCTCCGCTGCTCCAGACACTGCTTCCGATGCTCCCTCCTCCTCCTCTGCTGCTGCCTGCAGTGCTGGTTGTGCTGGCTTGATGATCAGTTTGAACTTTGACTCAATCCCCCCTTCTTCCCCTTGTCTTTGCCCCCCCCTCTCCCCTCTTGCTTTGCCATACCTCAGGAGATGTGGGGTCCTGTGGCGCTCCCAGTGAAGCAGAAGGACAAGCGCCGCTCCACCGCACCTGACACCCTCTCCTCCTCTGCTGCTGCCGGCACTGGAGGTGGGGGGTTCCCCGCGTCAGCGACCGTTGGGGGTGCGGGTGGTGGAGGAGGGGGGAGGAAGGGCGCGGAGGAGCCTCGCTTGAAGCACCAGTCGTCGGCTCCTCCATCTGCTCTGGTGGTTGAGGAGATTGTGAGTCTTTCATTCAAGGTTTGGGACGTCTCAAAACTCAAATGTGGGAGGCGGTGGAATGAAGGGTGGGGTGGAGCCAGGGCTGTTGAAGCACCAGTCATCGGCGCCCCCCTCTTCTTTGGTGGTTGACGAGATAGTAGTTCTCCCCCTTGTCCTCCTCGCTATAGATGCCTGCTTGCTTCCTACCCTTCCCCAACGATTCCTGAACTTGTCGGAACAAATTAGTTCTCGTCGAGACTCTTCAGATTCTAGTTCAATTCGCTTCAGATCTTTGTCTAAACCGAAAATTTCCTTTGTCCCAGCAAGAGGATCATCCTTCCCCCTCCTATATCCCCTTCCCCCTCTATTGCCTCCCTGCTCTCCGCCCTTCCCTCCTTTTCCTCACTTAGCCCCCCTTCCCTTCCTTTTTCGCCCTCCCCCCCTTCAACCCCTTCCCTCCCACCAGCGTCGGTCCACCACTGACAGCATCAATTCTACTCGCTCTGCCCGGTTGCTCCCTCCCCTCCCTTGCTTTCAATCTGCCAACCACCTCCTCCATTTTTCTCCCCTTTTCCCCTCTTTCCTCCCACCAGCGTCGTCCACCACTGACAGCATCAAATCAATTCTACTCGCTCTGCCGCCGGCTCACTCCCCCCCTCCCTCTCCCCCTCCACCTCCCCTCCAGGCCCTCCCTGGATCCCAATCTCTCAGCCACATCTATCCCCTCCCTGATTTTCCCGTTTCCCCCTTTTTCTCCCCTTCTCACCTCTTCCCCCCCCACCAGCGCCGGTCCACCACTGACAGCTTCACCTCCACCGGCTCTGCCCCCGGCTCATGCAATTGCCTTCTCAGCAGACCGATACCCCCCTTCCCCTCTCCCCCCTTTTCACCTATTCCCCCCCATTCCCCCACCAGCGCCGGTCCACCACTGACAGCTTCACCTCCACCGGCTCTGCCCCCGGCTCATGCAATTGCCTTCTCAGCAGACCGATACCCCCCTTCCCCTCTCCCCCCTTTCACCTATTCCCCCCCATTCCCCCACCAGCGCCGGTCCACCACTGACAGCTTCACCTCCACCGGCTCTGCCCCCGGCTCATGCAATTGCCTTCTCAGCAGACCGATACCCCCCTTCCCCTCTCCCCCCTTTCACCTATTCCCCCCCATTCCCCCACCAGCGCCGGTCCACCACTGACAGCTTCACCTCCACCGGCTCTGCCCCCGGCTCATGCAATTGCCTTCTCAGCAGACCGATACCCCCCTTCCCCTCTCCCCCCTTTCACCTATTCCCCCCCATTCCCCCACCAGCGCCGGTCCACCACTGACAGCTTCACCTCCACCGGCTCTGCCCCCGGCTCATGCAATTGCCTTCTCAGCAGACCGATACCCCCCTTCCCCTCTCCCCCCTTTCACCTATTCCCCCCCATTCCCCCACCAGCGCCGGTCTACCACTGACAGCTTCACCTCCACCGGCTCTGCCCCCGGCTCGCTCCCCTCCTTCCCCTCCTCCCTCCCCGCACTCCCCTCCGCCTCCACCTCCCCCTTCCCCTCCTCCGCCTCGCCCTTCCACCCGTCCCTGCCCCCACCGCGCTCCCCTCTGCCCTCCTACTCGGTTATCCGTTCTCAGAGCAGCCCCACGTTCCGAGCCCACGCTAGTGCCTTCTCAGCAGATCGATACCCCAGTTCTGTTGCCGCTGCTGGTGCTTCTGGTGCTGCGATTTCCGGTGCTGCTGCTGACAGTGATGCTGCTGCGAGTGGATACTCTGGTGCTGGTGCTGGGGATGCTTTCTCGTCAGGTCCTTCTACTGGCCTGCTTTATGCCCCTCCAATTACTCACTCCTCCTCGGCCCCTCTCCCCTTGGCGAATCCCTATGGTAGAGGTGCTAGTAGTGCTGGGCTAGGGTACAGAGGAGGAGGCAGGGGCGGGGGAATGGGCGGGTCTGCGGCAGGGAAAGGTTTGAGTCTGGAAGGGATTCGAGAGGGGGGGGAGAAGGATGTGGGGAGAGCGAGTGAGAAAAAGAAGGGGAGGGATAAGAAGGAGCAGGAGGAGAGGAGGAAACTGAAGGCAGAGGAGAGGGTGGCGATGAGGGAGAGGGAGAAGAGGGAGCTTCTGGAGAAGAGGAGGATGAGGATGGAGCAGAAGGAGGAGGAGAGGAGGAAGAAGCTTGCTTTGGAGGAGCAGAGGAGGACGAGGAGACAGGCGGTTTACATTCAGAACCTCAAGTTTAGCCAGGTATGTTCGGTTGTGCCTCGAAAGTACCTCTTCTTTCAGCTAGATGGGTGTCCGAGTTGGCTCCTGCTCTGCTCGTGCACACATTTAACCCCTTCATGCTCAAATTGAGGGATCCACACGTGACCGTTCCTTTCAACCCTGTCTCTCCTCCCCGCCTCGCTCTCCCTTGTCCCTTCCCTCCTTCCTTCCCCGATCTGGTGGAGCTCTTGATCACGAATGAGGGGTACCCAATCTCAGTCCCCGGCCGGCGCCTCCTCACGGACATGTATGGTTTGCCCGCACGGAAACGGAGTACACGGGGCCATGGCGCCCATTTTACTTCTCAATTCCAAAATACCTTGTTTATCTAAATAATTGTGAATATTCCTATTTCCCATTTTACTTCTCAATACCCATTTTACCTGCGCCTGCTCATGGACACGTTTGCCCGCACGAAAACGGAGTACACGGGGCCATGGCGCCCATTTTACTTCTCAATGCTTCCCCTTTCTTCCCTTCTACCCCCATCTTCAGGTGGAGCTGCTGATCACATACGAGGGGTACCCCGTCTCAGTCACCGACCTGCGGCTCCTCATGGACACATTCGCCTGCACCGAGTACACCTAAGGCCCACACCTTTCCTTATTCTGCTTCTTACCCTCTCGCAGGTGGAGCTGCTGATCACATACGAGGGATATCCAGTGTCGGTCACCGACCTGCGACTCCTCATGTACACATTTGCCCGCACCGAGTACACGGGGCCGTGGCGCCCATTCAACTTGTTAACACTTCCCCCTTCTTCTCCTCTCTCCCATCAGGTGGAGCTGCTGATCACATACGAGGGGTACCCCGTCTCAGTCACCGACCTGCGGCTCCTCATGGACACCTTCGCCCGCACGGAGTACACGGGGCCGTGGCGCCGCCTCTTCTCTCGCCTTCGCAAGCATGTCATCTGGGGCGTGCTCAAGTCTGTCACAGGCATGCAGGTGAGAGCTGCATTACCGCACTGCACCGCACAAAATGCACCGAGTACACGGGGCCGTGGCGCCGGCTGGTCTCGCGGCTAAGGAAGCATGGCATCTGGGGGGTGCTCAAGTCGGTCACAGGCATGCAGGTGAGAATCGATCGACTGTAGAGTCGCATTACCGCACTGCACCGCTCCAACACTGCACTGCACTGTAGTAACTGACCGAGTACACGGGGCCGTGGCGCCGGCTCTTCTCGCGGCTGAGGAAGCATGTCATTTGGGGCGTGCTCAAGTCGGTCACAGGCATGCAGGTAACTCCATCAACAGTACAATCTCATTGCCGCAATGCACCGCACTGCGCCGCACTGTAACGCACGGAGTACACGGGGCCGTGGCGCCGGCTGTTCTCTCGCCTGCGCAAGCACATCATCTGAGGCGTGCGCGAGTCCATCACAGGCATGCAGGTAACTCATCAGTCAACAGTAAAATTGCATTACTGCACTGCACCGCGCTGTAACCCACTGAGTACACGGGGCCATGGTGCCGCCTGTTCTCGCACCTGGGAAGACTTGGCGTGCTGAAGTCTGTCACAGGCATGCAGGTGAGAACCGCAGTATTGCACTGCACCGCTCCGCACTGTGCTGCACCGAGGGGCCGTGAGTGTGAGCTAAGCACGTCATTTGGAGCGTGTAGTAATCAGTCCCAGGCTTGCAGGTGATATGAGCTGCATTTCTGCAATGCATTGCACTGCGCTGCACCGCACTGCTCCTCGTTCCAAACCCAACACCCCATTCCCCTTCTGCCTCTTCTCATTTCCCGCTTCGCCGTCTCTTACCCCAGGGCCGCAAGTTCAAGGACGCACATTTGCAAGCCGGAAGCAGCGGTGGCGGCGGCAGCAGCATCACCACAACCACCCCATCCAAGTCGCAAGCAGCAGCGGCTGCAGCAGCAGCAGCGGAGATGGCAGAGAGTGACAGTGACGACGAGAGCGCACCCGCAGGGGGGGCGTCAGGGGCTGGAGTGGACGGGAAAGCTGGCAGGAAGATTCCCGCAGCAGCAGGGGCAGGAGGAGGGGCCAGCGGGGGAGGAGGAGGGGGAGGGGGGGAGGGGGTGGGCGACGGGAGTTATGGTGGGAGTGTGGGGGCAGGAGGGGGAAGGGTGGGTGTGTTGGAGGCAGGATCTGTTGTTCCTGGTGCTGCGGCCACTGCAGCTAGTGGTAGCAACAGCAGTGCTCACATGGGCAATGTGGGCATCACAAGCAGCAGTTCTGGGGAAGCAGCAGGAAACTCTGCTGGTGCTGGCACTGCTGCCGTCCTTGTCACTGCTGCTACTGCTGCTGCTGCTGCTTCTGGTGGCAGTACCACAGGCGTGAGTGGCAACAGCAGCAGCAGCAGCGGCGGGGGCAGCGGCAGTGGTAGCACGGCAGCTGGTTCTGGTTCTGGTGCAGGGACACTGGCGGTGGGAGGAGGCGGGGCGTCGATGCTACTGGCTCGGCTGGGGAACAAGGGGGAGCGCATGGGAGATGGGTTCGTGTCGTCGGTTAAAGGGCTGTTTAAGGACCAGCTTGGACGAGCCAAACATGTGCTTAAGAGCAAAGAGCAGCAGCAGCAGCAGCAGCAGCAGCAGCAGCAGCAGCAGCAGCAGCAGCAGCAGCAGCAGCAGGTGCATCACCATCACCACCACCGGCATCATCAGCAGCACCAGCAGCAAAAGCAGCAGAAGCAGCAGGGGGGGGAGGAGAAAGAAGGAGGAGGTGGTGGGAGGAGTGGAGAGGAGGGTAGTGTGGGTGGTGAAAGTGGGGTGGTGAAGGGAGAGGGGAGTGGGGGGTCTCCTGTGCTGCCAACAAGGAGTGGGGAGGTGGAGAGAGAGAAGGAGAAAGGGATGAGCTCACTGGTTGCGAAGGGACAGGCTTTAGTGCCTAAGCTGTGGACTCCAAAACAGAGTGCAGGTATGTGAGGTGGAGTGAGCATGGATGAAATTGAGCTGGGATGTGGGAGTTTGCGATTGGTTATAAGGAGGTGGGTTTGCAAAGCTTATTTTGAGCAATGTAAGAAACAAAGCATCGATGAGGCTTCTTCCTCTTTTACGCCCGTCTGCCGCTGATTCTGCCTGATTCAGCATGTTTTCTTTGTTTCTGTATTTGTTTGTTTGTTTGTTTGTTTTTGTTTTTTTGCTTCGGTTTGTTTATTTGTTTGGTTTTCCTTCTTTTTCCTTTTGGAATTGGCAACTCAAGGTCGGATTGATGAAGCCATCCCGGAGGTGCCTGAAGATGGAGCTGCATCCGAGTCCTCCAGTGCAGCCATTGGATTAGAGTCGAAGGATTAGGGCACAACTTGATGGTTGTCCGACGTCCATGCGGTAATGTATGGCCTCTATCAAGTTGTTTTCCCGGTTTTATATGCCTATTGCACACTAATGATGCTGTTGCGATAAATATAGTGTTGTAGCAATGTTAGCCACAGACTGACTCCCACTAACAAATGACTTGGGATACACATTAACTGTGATGTGCACCTTGTCTAGTTTACCACAGATCCTCAATTGTTATAAATGCGGCGAGTTGTAGCGATATGGGGTCAACCAGAGGCGAACATGGCGGTGATCCACGAGCGAGTGAGGTGAGCTATCCCATTCGCAACCAGAAAATTCAGTTTCGGTTCTACGATTCGGAAAATTGTTGCGATCACGTCGGTTTCAGCAATCAACAGATCCGTTGCTGGATCACTCGTCGTCATGGCCGCCAAAGGACAAGTCCGTAAGCTGCTTCGCTATCTTCCTCTCTATAACTTCCGTCCATTCGGCGGCTCCATGTCTCATGATCTCCCTAATCGGTTGACAGGCTGATTTATTGGACTGCATAGAGTGGCCATCAGTGGAGTGCCTGAACGCAAAACCTGGGAAGAATGTAGATAATGCAATCAAGCAGGTCAGTTTCTTTAGCAGATTTCGAGGATCGTGATTCTTCAGCCGTTGCACGTCGAGACGCACCATGAGTTTCTTTTTTTACGTTCGCAGGGTTATAGAGAGGACGATGGTTTGTTTTTGGAGAGCGACGTCGATGAGCAACTACTGGTCTACGTCCCATTCAACCAAGTCGTCAAGCTTCATTCGATTGTGATCAAGGGTCCCGAAGAAGAAGGTACGAATTCCACGACCGCGTGGTAGTTTTTATTTCAACCCGCAAATACGATTCATATTTCATCTTGGCGCTCGCAGGACCCAAATGCATAAAGCTCTACTCAAACAGGCCGAACATGGGATTCAGGTAGGATGCTAAGACATTTTTGTTTTCCCTCTTAATCTGTTATCGTTTCATCGACGTCTGAGAAAGGTATCTCGTATGACGCAGCAATGTGAGCGACATACCGCCGAGTGACACCATCAATCTTACAGCTGATCAGGTTCAGGTGAGAAATGGTCAATTATTTTGAATCTATATCGTTTAAAAGACTTTGTGTGATGTGTGGATTTATCATCATAGTAAATCTCTTGACATTGCAGGAAGGGAAGGCAACACCCCTGAAATACGTGAAGTTTCAAAATGTCAGAAGGTATTACATGAACTTTCAGCCTTCGCAGCTACCATGCTTATAGGCTATCTCTTACAGTTTTTCCCCTTCGCAGTCTTACTATATTCATCGAGAGCAACCAGTCGGGTGATGATGTGACTAAGGTTCAGAAGTTGGCCATACTTGGAAGCACGTGAGTGCACTAACTCGTTCCAGCCCCGCTAACTGCCCCCGTTTTTCTCTTCCTTATTGAGGTGCCTTCATTTCATCTGAGTTTTAACGTCATCTTATTTGTATGCAGGGTTGAGACCACCAATATGAAAGACCTGAAGAAAATTGACGATAAACAAGGCTAGAGTTGCCACATAGAAATTGATGGCAGCCTGGTAGGTGTTGGGCTGAATGCCTTTCCTCAACAGTAGAAGCTTGCATTGTAGGACATGCAGGCTCATTATCTGAAAAACATGTTCTGTATAGAAGTTATTCTTGTGTCCTCTCAGCTCTCCTACAGAGATAAAGTAAAACATTGAGTGTGATGAGGGAGGGTGAGGGACGGGAAAACTGAGTGAGCAAGGGAGGAGTAATTTATGACTACATTGACAAAAAGTTCAGCATTACCTAGTGAAATTGGTACGGTTTTTTTTTTTTTTTTGCCCACGGTTGGTTTGTCCAGTCTCCAACGGAGGGTGAGAGACGGGAAGAGTGGGTGAGAAAGGGATGAGTAATCTACTATCCGCGTGACCTGAAGTCACCATTCGGTTTAGTTTCGTTAGCTAAGGGAAAAGGTGAGAGACTGACAAAGGGAGCAATCTATGATCGGAGTGATGGAAAGATAGCATCACGAAATAAATATGGTCAAGGCCAATTTGTTCACAATATCGTTTGCATTCAGTTGCTTTGTTGAGTCTCACGTTTTTCCAACCGGTGGGTCTGCTTCAGTTACTTGGCCGAAGCCAATCTCGTGAATTAGATGCCACAGGGATTTTGACATATGTTGATTTATTACTGAAACAAAATACAAGTCTGGCGCAAGGGTGCAAACTATACAATCTAGTACTCCTCGTTCTCATCATCACCAGGCTCGGTGGAGTCAGCCCCGACTTCCTCGTAATCCTTCTCCAGCGCAGCCAGGTCCTCACGGGCCTCCGAGAACTCGCCCTCCTCCATGCCCTCGCCGACATACCAGTGAACGAATGCACGCTTTGCGTACATGAGGTCGAACTTGTGGTCAATCCGGCTGAAGACCTCCGCCACGGAGGTGGAGTTGGAGATCATGCACACGGCACGCTGCACCTTGGCGAGATCGCCACCAGGCACCACGGTGGGAGGCTGGTAGTTGATACCGCACTTGAACCCAGTTGGGCACCAGTCGACGAACTGGATGGTCCTCTTGGTCTTGATGGTAGCAACGGCGGCGTTGACATCCTTGGGGACGACGTCACCACGGAACATCAGGCAGCAGGCCATGTACTTGCCGTGGCGAGGATCGCACTTGGCCATCATGCTGGAAGGCTCGAACGCGCTGTTGGTGATCTCAGCCACGGACAGCTGCTCGTGGTAAGCCTTCTCGGCGGAGATGACCGGAGCGTAGGAGGACAACATGAAGTGGATGCGAGGGTAGGGCACCAGGTTGGTCTGGAACTCGGTCACGTCGACGTTCAGAGCGCCGTCGAAGCGGAGGGAGGCAGTCAGGGAGGAAATGACCTGAGACACGAGACGGTTCAGGTTCGTGTAGGTGGGACGCTCGATGTCCAGGGAGCGGCGGCAGATGTCGTAGATGGCCTCGTTGTCGAGGAGAACAGCGACATCGGTGTGCTCCAGGAGCGAGTGGGTGGAGAGCACGGAGTTGTACGGCTCAACCACGGAGGTCGACACCTGAGGAGACGGGTAGACCGTGAAGCCGAGCTTGGACTTCTTGCCGTAGTCCACGGACAGACGCTCCAGGAGGAGGGAACCGAGACCGGAGCCGGTACCACCGCCGACGGCGTTGAAGACCAGGAAGCCCTGGAGACCAGTGCAGTTGTCGGCAAGCTTGCGGATGCGGTCAAGGCAGAGGTCAACGATCTCCTTGCCAACTGCGATAAAAAAACGTAAGATAAAAGGAACGATTAGTAACAGATCGAAGTCACAAAAATGGAATTACTGAGTAAAATAGATTGTCAATATTAGAAGCATGAAGGAGGCGAGTCACTTACTGGTGTAGTGACCACGGGCGAAGTTGTTGGCAGCATCCTCCTTGCCGGAGATGAGCTGCTCGGGGTGGAACAGCTGCCTGTAGGCACCGGTCCTGACCTCGTCAATCACAGTCGGCTCCAGATCGAGGAACACAGCACGAGGGACGTGCTTGCCAGCGCCAGTCTCGCTGAAGAAGGTGTTGAAGGCGTCGTCGCCTCCTCCGCAGGTCTTCTCGCCGGTCATAAGCTGGCCATCAGGCTGGATGCCATGCTCCAGGCAGTAGAGCTCCCAGCAGGCGTTGCCGACCTGGATACCGGCCTGGCCGATGTGGACGGAGATGCACTCACGCATGGTGGCAAAGTTAGTATTCAAAAATCTACAAGGGTTCTGAAGGCTAAGGAAAGCTAGAAGGCTAGAAGGCGGATAGCTCGAAGGCTCTCGTGTGACGATATCAGGTCGTCAACACTCGATGCGTGAAGCAGAAACGGTTCTGGGGAGGTTATATAATCCTTGTCACAGGTAAGCCAGCAGACAGAGGAGGCTGGATGAGAGTTTCTCCCTGACAGGGTGTGTGCCCCAGATCTGAATTCAGGAGGCAAACCTTGGTGGTTTGGTAAATTCCGAGCCAAGACAGTCTGGCACAATCCCTAGGCAAACGGGAAACCATACCTACGCGGGAGTCGTGGAAATATTCCCAACACGGACAGATCCCAAAGCGTCCGAGCTTCGGAGAAACTCGAGGCTGTCATGGCCCATCTCGATGGGCTTTTCCACTGGTCAAAGCGGCATTCTGAAATTCCTGAAGCACGAACCGCGGAGATAACGCGGGAACCCGCTGACATGTGTCAGGGACATTGGCGCGGAGAAATCCACTCACACACTGGATGGCGGGGTTACTGCATTCGCGAGCTTCGTGCAACGGAAAAATCAAGGCTGGCTGGGAGCTGATTGGAAGTGGCTGACCTCGGTCTTGGCGGGAAAAAGGGTCTCTGGTGGAGAGCATAGAACACTGCACTTGGAACTGCATAGAAAAAAAAAAAAAAAAAAGTAGCAAGTTAATACTTGAAAATATGTGCTACTTTCCTATGGTTCAACTATCATGGTTGACTGAGAACAGATCCTCCCAAATCGACTACATCACATTTTCTTGTTTTTGTGGTTGCAATACATGTGAGTTGCACCTTCATGATCCAAAATTCCCTACAAGTTATCCAATAAAAGGGAATCTATTCACTCCACTACTTGGCTTTGCCCTTACCCTTGCCACCAGGCAAGGGAGCAAGCCCCCCCCCCAGACCCAGAGGAGCATCCCCTTGACTTGCTTCTCCATTTGCCGTAGCTGCAGGCTTGCTTGCTGCCGCTGCTGCTCCCGCACCTTTCTTTCCTCCAGCTTTCGTGGGAGGCGGAGCTCCTGAGACAGCACCAACACCAACACCAAGGCCCACACCGCCAAGCCCAGCAGGCGCCGCCGAACCACCTGCCGAGCCAGCTGCCGGAGCAGCTGCCGAGCCTGTCTTGCTAGCGGAAGAGCTAGCCGCACCAGAAGCTGGTGACGTGCTATTGATGAAATTAATCATTTCTTCCATGTCCATTGCACTGGGTGCACCGGCTCGGGCACCTGCCGAACCTGCAGCTCCTCGCAGGTTCACCCCCCGAGCCGCTGCTTTCCGCCGAGCCTCTGCAGCAGCCCTGGAAGCCCGCTCGTCCACACCTCTGGCTCGAATGCCAGTGCCTGAGGAGCCTGTAGCTCCCATGCCTCCGCCGAACCTGCCTGCACCAGCTCCGGGAGCAGGTGGGGGGACCTCTCCCCGAAGCAGAGCGTCAGCCACGGCACGCTGGTACGAGGTGGAGCCTCCTGCTCCGGGCGCTGCTGCTGCCTGCAACACCTGAAGCAGCTCCGGCCGTTGCTGAAAGAAAAGGAAGGCATGGGCAAGAGGAAAAGACGTAGATCAGGAATCCGAATCTAGACTATCTGCAGCACGCCAACAATGATGGCAACACGGACAAAGAATGGCAATGCTTTATGTGTTCGAAATGGCAGCCTCGGCATACCTTGAGAGCTTCGGCCACACGGAGAGCTGCTGCTTGTTGCTGCTGGACTGTTGCTGATGATTGCCCCACCTTCTGCTTTTGCGCCTGTGGAGACGTGGAGGGTAAGGGGAAAGGCATGGGAGAGAAAGCGAACAGAAGTGAGTGAGGGCTGCTGGTTGAGATACGACTGCAACCACTCCCCAGCATCGCATGCACGCACCCACTCCCCCGACCCCATAATGGTGCTTGAGCAATGCAAGCAAGCACTCATTCCCATGCACTACCCCACATGCACACACGTAAATGCATATCCACACACGCACTAAATCATACGTGGCAGTCTCTCACCCTGAGCTCGCGGTCAGCCCCCAACCAACCACGCACACACGCGTACACATGCAGATGCGACAGCCCCCCCACTCACCCTGAGCTCCCGGTCGAGGAACGACTGCACCCACTGCTCCGACTCCTTGGTGCTGCTTGGGCAATGCATGTACGTGCAACAGTCGCACACTCATCCACCACACTACCGACACGCAACTAGCCCCCACTCACCCTGAGCTCGCGGTCGAGGAACGACTGCACCCACTGCTCCGACTCCTTGGGCGATGCAAGCATGCCTTCACGTGCCTTCACGTGCGCACACATGCAGCACTCATGCATTCAGATGTGCACAAACACAGCACTCACCCTGAGCTCGCGGTCGAGGAACGACTGCACCCACTGCTCCGACTCCTTGGGCGATGCACGCATGCCTTCACGTGCGCACACATGCAGCACTCATGCATTCAGATGTGCACACACACAGCACTCACCCTGAGCTCGCGGTCGAGGAACGACTGCACCCACTGCTCTGACTCCTTGGTGCGCGGGTCCTCCTTCCCCACCGCCTTCTCAAACACCGCCTGTGCCTTGCGCTCCTCCTGTGGTGGCGGGGGAAGTGGAGACAAAATGGTGAGAGACGGTGCAAGAAAAAGGGTGGGGAGGAGAGCTGATGGAACTAGGAGCTTCAAGGCCAGGCCAGCATAAGCCCTCTAGCACTCACACACATACCTGCAACACCAACTTGAATGTGCCCGTTGATCGTGGTGGCAAACGGCAGCCTGCACGTGATGCTGCCCCAGCAGCCTCCCACTCACTGCCTATTCCCCTCGGAACCTACTGCAGCACACCCTTATGCCTTACACACCTGTAAGGCGAGCTTGAATGCCCCCATGGAAGAGAAGGCGAGGACGAGAGCACGGTGACACACGGCCACCTGCACGTGATGCTACCCCAGCAGCTTCTCACTAACTGACTAACGTCCTCAGCACCTACTGCAGCATACCCTAACGCACCTGTAGAGCGAGCTTGAACGCCCCCATAGACGAGAAGGCGAGGGCGAGAGCGTGGTGACACACGGCCACCTGCACGTGATTCTCCCCCAGCAGCTTCTCACTCACTCGCACCGCCTCCTGCAGGTACTTCATTGCGTTCTGCAACTTGCCCATGTCCTGGTGATGGGGAGCGAGAACAGGAGGGGAAGGCGGCGGGGAAAGGTGTATTGAGAACAGGATAACAGATTCTCACTGACTCGCACCGCCTCCTGCAGATAATTCATGGCGGTCTGTAACTTGCCCATGTCCTGGTGATGGGGTGGGAGGGCAGGCAGGAGGAGGGGCAGGGAGGAAGGGGGGGAAGGACGAGTGTGTTGAACCAGCCGACTTTTGAGTCGACTCAAAAGTCACCTCGTTACCAGGGGGGGAAGGACGAGTGTGAGTCGAGTTTGGAGTCGACTCAAAAGTCACCTCGTTACCAGGGGGGGAAGGACGAGTGTGAGTCGAGTTTGGAGTCGACTCAAAACTCGAGTGTGTTGAACCAGCCGACCGGCACCTTCTCATCCACCACATCCCCCCCTTTAAGCACTTCATCACCTTATGCTGACAACCATACATACACACACCACACCACATCCCTCAACCCACACACCTGGTAGGTGAGAGCGATGTTGACGAACAGCGAGGCCACCTCCGGGTGGTCGTTGCCAGCTGAGAGCGAGAGCAGCTGCAGGGTGCGCTTGAAGTGACGCAGGGCAAGCTCAGACTCGCCCATGGCGTGGAAGTAGAGAGCCATGTTGCCGTAGCTGGTGGGTGAAGGGGCAAGGAGAGGGCGCGAGAAGCGTGTTAGGAGAGGTTTGGTAGAGGCATGGGGTGCGCTTGAAGTGGCGCAGAGCGAGCTGTGATTCGCCCATGGCGTGGAAATACAGTGCCATGTTGCCAAGCTGGCGGTGTGCGGGAAGAGGGAGGGGAGGAACGAGGAAGCCAAGGGAAGGGAGCAAGCATGGCGTGCAAGGCATGGCATGGCATGGATGGCACGACATGGCACAGTCGATTTTTGAGTCGACTCAAAAAGCAAGCATGGCGTGGCAAGGCACGGAATGGCATGGATGCCACGACATGGCACAGGGAGAACAACACAGTAGGTATGTACCATGGGAAGAGAGGCGGGCATGGCATCAAAAGCCATGGCCACCGGGTATCCACGTGGCGGAATGCTATTGGTGGACATACTGACCGGAAGCACATGGGACAGGTGCACCCGGCTAATTTGCCACCAGATGAGAGGTTTCACAGAGAAAGTCCCAGCTCTGCTCCCGCCCCCTGCTTTGCTCACACCACCACTTCAAACTTCTCAGAACCATGATGGAGGGGGAGCATCAGCTAATCTGTGCACGAAGTCAGGGTGGTGTGTTTCCTTCCACCACCCGCTCACTGACAATCAGCTCGCGATAAATTCCAGCACAAGACGCTGCCCACTTGCTTCCCCCCCTTAGTGTTGCCAGTAAACAGCAACGCCCACCTGTGCACGGTGTCAGGGTGGTCTGTTCCCGCCACCCTCTTGTTGATGACCAGCTCACGGTGCTGCTGCTGCACGAGGCACTGCCCCTTGCACCCCCTCCATGCACCACCCCCTTCCCCCACCCTTGCTCGCCCCCTTGGATCCCCCACCAGTGTGTGTCACACGCCCACCTGTGCACGGTGTCGGGGTGGTCCGTCCCCACAACCCGCTCGTTGATAATCAGCTCGCGGTGCTGCTGCAGAATGGCATTGCCTGTCTCTCCTGCGTGGTAGAAGATCAGAGCCAGGTACCTGGGGTTGTGCAGGGGTGTAGATGGGTGGGAAGAGGTGCGGGGGAACGGAATGGGGAAGATGAACGGGGGGAGGGAGAAGGGGCACTGCAGAAAAAGACCAAAGGAGTGGTCTGGCAAGGACACATGGGAAAGGGCAACATCAAAGGGAGAGAAATGAGTGGGGACAGGGAGGGAAGGAGGGGAAAGGGAGGAAGGGAGGGAGGGAGGGAGGGAGGGAGGGAGGGAGGGAGGGAGGGAGGGAGGGAGGGAGGGAGGGAGGGAGGGAGGGAGGGAGGGAGGTAGGGAGGGAGGGAGGGAGGGAAGGAGGGAAGCAGGTGGGGAGGGAGGGTACAAATGGATAGAATACAAAAGGCTGGCAACGAATGCGGCATGCAGCAATGTCCCACACACCTCTAGAGAATTCTTGCGAGTGACTCGGACATACCTCACTCCATGCTTGCTTACCTGCAGCATGCTGCAACGTCCAGATGAAGTGGCCCGCACACCTGCACGTGGAGAGGGGTGGTGGAATGGGGTTGGGAGGGTGTGGGGGAGGGAGGAGAGACGGGGGTGTTGGGAGGGGCTAGGGAGGAGCGGAACAAGGAAAGAGGAGAGGGAGAGATGCAAGAAACGAGAGGAAAACGAGAAGGAGAGAACGGGAAAGGGAAGGGAAATGGGAGGGGTAAGGGGCAGTAGAGAATGTGAGTTTCTGCGGAAAAAAGAAAGAAGGTCAATAGGCGTCTGCCATTCTAGCCCCCCTTCCTTCCCCTCCCCCCCCCCTCCTAGCTCCCTTCCAATACCGTCCACTCATATACCCCCCTCCCTTCCCCCCACCAGCCCTGGAACCCCACCTGCTGCAGGATCTGGTAGGCCTCGCTGAGAATCTCAAACGCGGAGTTGAGGGTTGTCTCGTGCTCCCCACCCTTCCTAGTCCTGATCCAATACCCCCGCAACTCCCCGCCCCCGCCCCCGCCCCTCCCCCCACCAGCCATGACCCCTCACCTGCTGCAGGATCTGGTAGGCCTCGCTGAGGATCTCAAACGCGGAGTTGAGGGTTGTCTCGTGCTCCCCACCCTTCCTAGTCCTGATCCAATACCCCCGCAACTCCCCGCCCCCGCCCCCGCCCCTCCCCCCACCAGCCATGACCCCTCACCTGCTGCAGGATCTGGTAGGCCTCGCTGAGGATCTCAAACGCGGAGTTGAGGGTTGTCTCGTGCTCCCCACCCTTCCTAGTCCTGATCCAATACCCCCGCAACTCCCCGCCCCCGCCCCCGCCCCTCCCCCCACCAGCCATGACCCCTCACCTGCTGCAGGATCTGGTAGGCCTCGCTGAGGATCTCAAACGCGAAGTTGAGGGTTGTCTCGTGCTCCCCACCCTTCCTAGTCCTGATCCAATACCCCCGCAACTCCCCGCCCCCGCCCCCGCCCCTCCCCCCACCAGCCATGACCCCTCACCTGCTGCAGGATCTGGTAGGCCTCGCTGAGGATCTCAAACGCCGAGTTGAGGGTTGTCTCGTGCTCCCGCAGCCACTGCCCGCTCTGAGGCGTGGCGGAGAAGCGCGGGCGCAGAGGCAAGCCGACCTGGAAAGGAAGAGAGGGCGTGTGTTCAAAGGATGTGGGCGTGGGGCACGTGGGAATTGGGCAGGGTATGGATTGTACCATCGGAAGAGACACAGGGATGGCATGGCATGGCATGGCATGAATTGGCATGGGAATGGCATGGCAAGGGTATGTACCATGGGAAGAGAGGCGGGCATGGCATGGGAAGCCATGGTCACCGGGTATCCACGTGGCGAAACGCTATTGGTGGACATACTGACCGGAAGCACATGGGACAGGTGCACCCGGCTAATTTGCCACCTGGATTATGCAATGTGTGCCAAGCGAATTTGCCATCCTTCAAAGATTATTCCTCACCTCTCACCCTCTGCCCTCCCCGCCCATACCTTGTGCGCGAGGCTCTTCCACTTTTCCAACAGCTTCTGAGCGTCGCTGCAGGCGGGCGAGGCGTGAAGAGAGAGACACCATCTTTCTGCCCACTAACTAACCCTCCTTCAACACACTGCCACTAATACCGTGCATGCACACCGCTCCCCGCCCATACCTTGTGCACGAGGCTCTTGCCCTTCTCCAGCAGCTTCTGCGCGTCGCTGCAGGCGGGAGAAGCGAACTTGACTTGGGGCAGCAGGTCGCACACATCTGCTATGGCGATCGGCACGTCACACTCCAGGTTGTAATCCCTGGCTGCCAGGACGATGCCCATCTGTTAGGGCAATTCAGGAAACACAGGGATAGGGAACTGGGCAGAGATTGGGGCAGCAGGTCGCACATGTCTGCAATGACGATGGGCACGTCGCACTCGAGATTGTAGTCCCTGGCTGCCAGGACGATGCCCATCTGTTGAAGTGGGGGCAACGGGTAACACAGGGAGAACAGGGAGAGGGGGAATGGAGTAAGCGAACTTGACTTGCGGCAGTCAGGTGAGGCGAGCTTGACTTGGGGCAGCAGGTCACACACGTCTGCAATGGCAATGGGCACGTGGCACTCGAGGTTGTAGTCCCTGGCTGCCAACACAATGCCCATCTGTGAGTGGAACAACGGGGACATCGGGAGAGGGGAGTGGGCAGAGATTATTATCAGGGGAGCAGGTCGCACACGTCTGCGATCGCAATGGTCATATAGCATTCGAGGTTGTAATCCCTCGCTGCCAGGACTATGCCCATCTGTAGTGGAGACACAGGAAGGAAGGGCAGTGGGGAGAAGAAGGGGAAATAATGAGGAAGAGGCTATATGCAGCAGGCCCAAACACAATCCCATGGCACTAGGCATGTCGCAATGGAGAGGAGATAATAGATTTTGGCTGCCATGAGCATTAGGCCTTTTGAGGGCCAAAGGTCACTAAAGATCATAGTTTTCAGTTGCCAGGATTAGGCCCACGCCTGAAAATATGCCTGCTGCCGGAGTATGGACTGACCTTGAGGCAGATGTTGCGGAGGGTGGCGAGGCTGCGAACCATCTTGCGCGTCTCAGAAGGGATTTCGAACTGTGCACAGGACAGGGCATGGCAGGACAGGGAGGGCAGGACAGGAGGGCAGGGCAGAGCAGGGCAGGGTAGGGTAGGGCAGGGCAGGGTAGGGCAGGGCAGGGCAGAGGAAGACAGGGAAACGCCCATGGAGATAGGGAGATGGACAGACGGAAGCAGAAAATGAGTAAATATCTAAGGATAGCAGCAGAAAATACATGTGAGACAGACGGAATGAAAAAGGGATCAGGGCAGAGATGCTGAACATACGAGGAAAAAAAAAATCGTTAAAAAGGGAGCAGCAGGGGAGGGGGGCATGGTGACAGATGCAATGATGATAACATTCCTTCACAACATTCCTTATCATTCCAGGCAACTATAACCAAGTTTCAGTCTCTCACCTGATACTTGTACTTGACGCCTTCAGTGATATCAGACCACACCATATCCGCCGTGATACGAGTATACCCCGGCACATCCACCACAAACAGAAACGCCTCCTTCTTCTCTTCCCCCTCCTCCTTCCTCTCCTCCCCATCCTTCTTCTCTCCCCCCTTCCCCTTCTTCTTCTTCTTCCCCCCGCCGCCCGCCGCGCCGCCCTCAGTTTTGTCCGTATCCCCGACGCCGGGGAGCGTGGGCGGCGGCGTGGTGGTGGAGGTGCCGAGGAAGCAGTTGAGGAAGTGTGCGATGGCGCCGGCCACGTCCTGCTCGAGCGTCTCGCGCAGCACAGCCTTGAGCACGTGCTTGGTGGCCCTCACCACCATCTCCGCCACGCACAGCCAGTACACCTGCTCCACGTCAGCCACCTCCTTCGCCACCTGGCAGTTTCAAGGGAGGGGGAGTGGGGGAGGGGGGAAGGAGGCGGGCGGGAAGGGGGGGAAGGGAAGAGGGGTTGGGTATGAGAGAAAAGCAGCGAGGGAGTGGGGAGCAAGGGAGTGAGCAGGGGAGGCAGCAAGGGAGGGAGCAGTTGAGGAAGTGGGCGATGGCGCCGGCCACGTCCTGCTCGAGCGTCTCGTGCAGCACAGCCTTGAGCACGTGCTTGGTGGCCCGTACTACCATCTCCGCCACGCACAGCCAATACACCTGCTCCACGTCAGCCACCTCCTTCGCCACCTGGCAGTTTGTAAGGGAGGAGTGGGGTGGTAGGGAAGGGAGGGGGGCAAGGGACCAACCCAGGTACAGCAACAAGTTGACAACTGTCACCATGAGCATGCATAGTCCTGCCAGCAAGGAACCTTTTGAGTCGACAAGTCACCTAGGCATGCATAGTCCTGCTTGCAAGCACACACACAGCCATCCGCACATGTTCCTTTACCATATCCACATTACATTACATAGCACATGTTCCATTACCATTTCCACATCCCAGCACCGTGCATCCCCACGCCCACCCATTTGAAGGCCATGAAAAAGCCACCAATGCAGGCACTCACCCGGCCCAGGTAGCGCAGGTTGACGCCATGCGCGTGCATGGTGCTGGCGAGCGAGTGCCCATCCACAGGCCACCCCTCGAGAGCTCTGGATGTCCGCCACCAGTGCTGGCAGCGCTGTCTTTTGATGCGCCTCAACCCTGAACAGCTAAACCCTCTAAAATCCCTCGACAGCTCAGTAAGTCTGCCACCAGCACCGTGACCCACGTGCATGAGAAACACCCACCCACCCGCCCATTCATCCAAGGCCCACGAGAGGGAAACTCACCCGGCCCAGGTAGCGCAGGTTGACGCCATGTGCGTGCATGGTGCTGGCAAGCGAGCGGCCGTCCACGGGCCACCCCTCAGAGCTCTTGATATCCGCCACCAGTGCTGGCAGTGCTGTATCGATCAGGTATTTGCCCGCCTTGCGCACTACTGCTTCATCCTCCTCCACCTCCTGATGTTGTGTGGGGGTGCACCGTGGGGGGGGGGAGAGGAAAGAGAGAGAGTGATGGGATGGGTTGTGACAAACAAAAGTCTCATTCTCACACTCAACCCACTCACTCTCAGACTCACCCTCACACTCACTCCCACTCTCAGACTCACTCTTGTTCCTTCTCATCCACCCACCTTGGGATAATCAGCCAGTTTGAATTCGGTGAATGCGTTCGGGTTAAACAGCGCGTCAGGAAACTCGCCCTTCTCCCTCTCAGTCACCCTCACCCTCACCCTCACCCTCACCCTCACCCTCAACCTCACCCTCACCCTCACCCTCACCCTCACCCTCACCCTCACCCTCACCCTCACCCTCACCCTCACCCTCACTCGTATTCCCTCTCTCACCAACCCACCTTGTGATCATCGGCCAGCTTAAATTCTGTCAGCGCATTCGGGTTAAACAGCACGTCAGGAAGCTCGCCCTTCTCCCTCAGCGCCTCCACCTCCTCTGCACTCAACACCTGGCAACCTGGAATAAACAAATTCTCACCCTCACAATGGATCTCACACTCACCCTCAGATGCATTCTCTCCCACCCACCTTGGGATCATCTGCCAGTTTGAACTCAGTGAGTGCATTCGAGTTATACAGCACATCAGGCAGCTCGCCCTTCTCCCACAGCGCCTCCACCTCCTCTGCATTCGGCCTCCCAGTCACCTTGAAATCAACTCACTCTCACACACACTCACACTCACTCCCACACACACCTTGGAATCATCCGCCAGCTTGAATTCTGTCAGCGCGTTCGGGTTGAACAGCACGTCAGGCAGCTCGCCCTTCTCCCTCAGCGCCTCCACCTCCTCTGCACTCGACCGCTCACTCATTCACACTCACATGCACTGACTCTCAGTCTCGCACTTGACCACTCACCTTGGAATCATCGGCCAGCTTGAATTCTGTCAGCGCATTCGGGTTGAACAGCACGTCAGGCAGCTCTCCCTTCTCCTTTAATGCCTCCACCTCCTCTGCACTCGGCCGCTCGCTCACGCCCTTCTGAGCCATCCACCGCTCCACCTGCTCCTCCCGGCAGAACTTCTCCACCAGCTCAGGACGGAGAATCGCCAGGCGGTTAGCAGCATTGGCAGCGTTGGCAGCGTTGGCAGTGGTGTTGGTATCAGTGCCGTCGCTACCGGTGGCAGTGGTGGTGGTGCTGGTGGTGGTGGCGGTGAAATTGGCGTCGCGGGGAGTGAGGCGGATCAGATCCAACAGGTATTTCCTGAGGGGATGGAGGCGAGGGGAGGGAGAAACAGCGGCCAGAAGGGATGATTCACTAAAACGACTGGCCTGGGAGCCAGCTATACCCATCCCTCCCCGTTTGAGAGTTTACCAGCGTTGGCAGTGGTCCCTCGATTCTCCAGTGTCCCTCAGCAGTACCGTCAGTCCCTGTTTAACTCTCCGGATCCCTCCCCAACACTCCTCACCCCTCCCCACCGCGCACCTGTCATCGCTGCCCAGAATGCCCTTGGTCTCCACAGGCGAGCACAGAGTCGCCTCCTTGCCCTCAGCCATACAGTCAGACCAGCACTCCCCTGCCCCCACAAACCTCACCTTCTCGTCAATCCCTCCCCAAAACCCATCACCCCTCCCCACCACTCTCCACCACGCACCTGTCATCGCTGCCCAGAATGCCCTTCGTCTCCACAGGCGAGCACAGAGTGGCCTCCTTGCCCTCCCCGTCCGCCCAGGACTCGTGGGTCTAATCCACATTCCCTCACCCCCTGTCAACATCTTTTCCCACACGCACCTGTCATCGCTGCCCAGAATGCCCTTGGTCTCCACAGGCGAGCACAGAGTCGCCTCCTTGCCCTCTCCGTCCGTCACCTTGTGCTCCTTCAGGTGCAGCGCCTTACCCAGCTCAGCCACCTGGGGGTGAAAGAAGCGAGAAGCGAGGCACAGGGGGCAGGAGCAGGTGAGACAAGGAAGAGAACAAGAGGACGTGAGACAGAGGGGCTTGCCCTCCCCGTCCGTCACCTTGTGCTCCTTCAGGTGCAGCGCCTTGCCCAGCTCCGCCACCTGAAGGTATGGCAGGGAGGGAGGGAAGGAGGCAACATGCAAGGCGGTCAATGAGTGGGTGTTTGCCATTGCTAGACGCACACAGGGCATACACCCACTCACGCAAAGGAACCCAACGAGTCATCACCCATACCCCAGCACCACGGCGCTTTGGGATGGAACGAGTCACTCCACTTGATGGTCTTGCCCGTGTCCACCGACCCGTACAGCATCTGTTTGTCACCTAACTAGCACCAGCAATGCATACATGCACGTACACACCCTCACACACATGCAACCACACAAACCCCACACTCACACCACCTCCACCGTACCTTGGGGTGGAACAAGTCGCTCCACTTGATGGTCTTGCCCGTGTCCACCGACCCGTACAGCATCTAAAGGGTACCAGCAATACATACACAGATGCACGCACCCTCACTCCCACCGACCCGTATAGTGATGCACTGAGGTGCCTTCGCACCCCTCCCTTCTTCACCCTTTACCCCCACACACACACAACCACACATCGCCCACACACAACTTCCACGGCACCTTGGGGTGGAACGAGTCGCTCCACTTGATGGTCTTGCCTGTGTCCACCGACCCGTACAGCATCTGAGTCGTGCGGTCGCCGTAGAGAATGCCCGGGATGATGCTCTGCTCAAAGAGGGGGAAGGCACAGCAGGTGAGGGATGCAGAAGGGTAAGGGAAGATACAGGAGGGTAAGATATTTGATGGTCTTGCCTGTGTCCACGGACCCGTACAGCATCTGCGTTGTGCGGTCACCGTAGAGAATGCCTGGGATAATGCTCTGCTCAACAAAGGGTAAGGCAGGTGAGGGGTGCAGGAGGGTACAGAAGGGTACAAGAGGGTCAGGTACTTGATGGTCTTGCCTGATCGCCATAGAGAATGCCCAAAATGATGCTCTACGATAGGGGGAAGGGGGGAAGTGGCGGAGTGGAGACAGGGTTGATGGAACAGGTGAAGGGTGGAAAGTCCGCGATGGCCATGGAAAGCGAGTAGAGCCCAGGAGACTTCTGTCAAATGGCTTACCATACTATACAGCAACAGCAACACGCACCTGAGCGATGACTCGGTGCCCGCGGTAGTCCACAATGGCCATGGCCAGCGAGTAGAGCCCGGGGATGTCGGCGTTGTTCACAGCCATGGTGCCCTTGAGGGGCCTTTCAAGGCACCTCAAAGACCACAACACCGCACCTGAGAAATGGGACCATGTAATTGGGCAATATGACACACCTGAGCGATGACTCGGTGCCCGCGGTAGTCCACGATCGCCATAGCCAGCGAGTATAGCCCGGGGATGTCCGCATTGTTGACAGCCATGGTGCCCTTGAGGTCGTTGTTGGACGATGCATACGTTGCCTGCTCTGCCTCCGTCACTGCCGCTGCTGCTGCTGCTGCTGCTGCATCCTCGCCTTCCTTCTTCTCCCCCTCCTCTCCTTCCTTCTCTCCTTCCTTCTTCTCCCCTTCCTTCTTATCTGCCTCCTCTGCCTTTGCCTCCTCCGCCTTTTTCTCCTCTGCCGCCTCCTGCTCTTTCTTCTCCTTCTCCTTCTTATCCTTCTTCTCCTTCTTCTTCTTGTCCCTCTTCTCCTTCTTCTCCTCCTTCGTTTCCACCTTCTTCTCCTCTTCCTTCTCCCCCTCCTTTTTCTCCTCATCCTTACCCCCCTCCTCTCCCCCTTCCTTCTTCTCCCCACCCTCCCCCTCCCCCTTCTTAGCAGCCTCCGCCTCCGCCTGCTGCTTCAGCTCCGCCTCTCTAATCTGCTGCAGCGCCGCAAAATCCCCATCAACAGCCAGGGAAAAGAAGATATTATTATGCACATACATATGGAACCGATCCGCGTCATGCGGGTTGATCGGCGGGATCGACCGGCCAATCACGGCCTTCGCGCCGCGAACCGCCGAATCAGCAAACTCGCAGCTGACTCGATATAAGGCCCGGTCGCGCAGAATCCGGTCTTGTAACGAGTTACGCGGTAACTCGCGGCAGCTCTGCAGCTCCTCGTTCCAGTCCCTCAGAACGCCACTGAAATCAATACCGAAGGGGGCCATTAGAGCGTCTTCGGATCGTGCCACGTCACGCGTATACTGTAGCGGCCCCGTGCCGTCCGCGCCGCCCCAGATGGGCTTTGCCGCCCAGTCGTTGGGCGGCAGCGGTGCCAGCATGTTCTCAAACGGGTGGCGGTTGGCCTTGCGCTCGATCACCTCCGCAAAGGCTGATGAAGGAAGGGTGAAGGGAGGGAGGGGAGAGCAGATGGAGAGTTCTTAGGTGGCTAGCAACGCATTCAGGAGAAGGGTGGCGCCAGCTTCTTCTAGAGACTTGAAGGGGTGGCGGTTGGCCTTGCGCTCGATCACCTCCGCAAAGGCTGATGAAGGAAGGGTGAAGGGAGGGAGGGGAGAGCAGATGGAGAGTTCTTAGGTGGCTAGCAACGCATTCAGGAGAAGGGTGGCGCCAGCTTCTTCTAGAGACTTGAAGGTGTGGCGGTTGGCCTTGCGCTCGATCACCTCCGCAAAGGCTGATGAAGGAAGGGTGAAGGGAGGGAGGGGAGAGCAGATGGAGAGTTCTTAGGTGGCTAGCAACGCATTCAGGAGAAGGGTGGCGCCAGCTTCTTCTAGAGACTTGAAGGGGTGGCGGTTGGCCTTGCCCTCGATCACCTCCGCAAAGGCTGATGAAGGAAGGGTGAAGGGAGGGAGGGGAGAGCAGATGGAGAGTTCTTAGGTGGCTAGCAACGCATTCAGGAGAAGGGTGGCGCCAGCTTCTTCTAGAGACTTGAAGGGGTGGCGGTTGGCCTTGCCCTCGATCACCTCCGCAAAGGCTGACAAGGGGAGGGTCAAGTAGGGGAAGGGGAGGGCAAATGGAGAGATATTGAGGGTTATTGAGAGTTACTGAGGGGCTAAAGGTGGCTTGACCTGTGCATTTGAAAGTAATTGTTTGCATCAACGCATGATTGGATCTTTAGACATAAAAGAAAACTACAGATCGGGCAAGGGTGAAAGGGTGTGTGCAAATGCCAGGATCATGCGAGCAGGTGGGGATGCTGGTAGTGTGGTGATGCGAACACACTAAAAACCATGGACATAGGCGTTTTTTTTTTTTTTTTTTTTTTTTCCAATGTGGCTGGTGTGGGCAAACGTTGAAGCTGCCTCAAAGATAACGTACTTGATTTTTATTTTTATTTTCCCACATTGTTGGTATCATATATGCCATGACCGACAGAGAGGCATACGGGGGCATAACCCCTAAACCCAGGTTGATATCCTCACATTCGCACTGCATTCGCCATATGGTGGGCGCAACCTCTCTCACCTTTCCCGACACAAGTGTGTGCCTTACCTTTGGAGAAGAGCGGGCTGATCTGCCGCAGCAGCCCAATGAGAGTGGACGCGTCCATCTTGGGCTCGGCGGGGCGCGGGTCCAGTTTGCTGCAACCAACCCAGTCCTCACAGACTCCCTCTCTCACTCTCAATCCGCCTCATTCTTTTAAAAGTATCAGGCTCTTGCTCTCACCTTTGGAGAAGAGAGGGCTGATCTGCCGCAGCAGCCCAATGAGAGTGGACGCGTCCATCTTGGGTTCAGCAGGGCGCGGGTCCAGCTTGCTGCAACTACTCCTTACAGGCCCTCTCTCTCTCTCACTTCAGATTCGCCTCACCTTTGGAGAAGAGCGGGCTGATCTGGCGCAGCAGCCCGATGAGAGTGGACGCGTCCATCTTGGGCTCAGCAGGGCGCGGGTCCAGCTTGCGGCCGCTGCCACTGCGGTTGACAAAGAAGCCCCTCGTGTGCGCCGTCACGCAGAAGAGCTTTCCCTCCGCTGTCACCACCTCCAGATACACCAGATCGCCTTGCAGCCTGCAGAAGGAGCTCAAAGGGATGGAATGCGGTGGTAAGGGATGGAGAGGGGTCTGAGACGTGTGTCACTGGGACTGCCACTGCGGTTGACAAAGAAGCCCCTCGTGTGCGCCGTCAAACAGAAGAGCTTTCCTTCCACTGTCACCACCTCCAGATATACGAGATCGCCTTGGAGCCTGCAGGGGGATGGGAAACGGTTGAAAGTGGTGGAAAGGGATATGAGACGTGTGCCACTGGGACTGCCACTGCGGTTGACAAAGAAGCCCCTCGTGTGCGCCGTCACACAGAAGAGCTTTCCCTCCGCTGTCACCACCTCCAGATACACCAGATCGCCTTGCAGCCTGCAGAAGGAGCACAGAAGGATGGGAAACGGTTGGAAGGGGTGAGGGATATGAGACGTGTGCCACTGGGACTGCCACTGCGGTTGACAAGACAAAGAAGCCCCTTGTGTGCGCCGTCACGCAAGAGCTTTCCCTCCGCTGTCACCACCTCCAGGTAGACCAGGTCGCCTTGCAGCCTGAAAGATGGGAAACGGTTGAGACCGGTGGAGAGGGGAAAGAGATGTGTGGATTGAGAAGAGCCCCTTGTGTGCGCCGTCACGCAAGAGCTTTCCCTCCGCTGTCACCACCTCCAGGTAGACCAGGTCGCCTTGCAGCCTGAAAGATGGGAAACGGTTGAGACCGGTGGAGAGGGGAAAGAGATGTGTGGATTGAGAAGAGCCCCTTGTGTGCGCCGTCACGCAAGAGCTTTCCCTCCGCTGTCACCACCTCCAGGTAGACCAGGTCGCCTTGCAGCCTGAAAGATGGGAAACGGTTGAGACCGGTGGAGAGGGGAAAGAGATGTGTGGATTGAGAAGAGCCCCTTGTGTGCGCCGTCACGCAAGAGCTTTCCCTCCGCTGTCACCACCTCCAGGTAGACCAGGTCGCCTTGGAGCCTGACAGGGGTGGGGAGGGATGAGAACCGGTTGAAATGCAAATGAAACTTAACGTAAGTCAGAAAGTGCGTTCTTCTGTTCCAGTCCACCACGGTTGAGCGAGGAAGATGAAAGGTGAAATGATTTCTCGGGGCGTTGTGAGGAGGAATAATCTCACCTCCTGGGCCCCGGAACAGGGTTGAAGGAGGAGAAGGCGATGCTCTCAACGCACACGGGCGCGGCGTCCTCGTCAGCGCCGCCCTTCACCATCACCTTGGCGAGCACGCCCTTGGGATCATCGCCCAGCCCCACGCCCTGCTCCAGCCACGCCATCTCCTCTCCATCCATCCGTCCTCGCCCCTCACATCAAGCTCTCTTACCTACCTCCTGGCAAGGAGGCAACGGAAATCAGGAGGAGGAAAGAGTAATCTCACCTCCTGGGGCCCGGAACAGGGTTGAAAGAAGAGAAGGCGATGCTCTCCACACACACGGGCGCGGCCTCCTCGTCAGCGCCGCCCTTCACCATGACTTTCGCGAGCACGCCCTTGGGATCATCGCCCAGCCCCACGCCCTGCTCCAGCGACGCGATCTCCTCCATGCGCGCCTTGCTGCTCGGAAGCTTCGCCTTGCGCTCCCGCTCCTTCTCCTTCTCCCGCCGCTCCTTCTCCTTCGCCTCCTCCTCCTTGCTCCGCCGCCCCTTCCCCTTCTTCCCCTTCCCGCTCTTCTTCCACTCCCCGCCCTCCTCGTCTTTCTCCCCGTCTTTCTCCCCCTTCTCCCCCTCGCCGTCCTTCCCCTCCCCCTCCTCCTTTTCATCCCCCCCAAGCTCGCGTTCAGTAGCCAGCCCCTTAACTAGCTCATATTCCGCCGCCATGGCCGTAGACGCGCTAGAGTACGAACCCGCCATCGATATAAGCTCCCTCGTTTTACGCACGTGCAGCCGCACGGCGCGGTCGTCGTAGAACGTGTTGAACATCTCCAGCAGGCACCCGCCGGCCGCCACGTCAGCAACCTCACCAATCTCCACGTAATCCATGAGGTGGTAACGCAGCCCGTCCGGCTTGGTGAGGATAAGGTCGTACGCGGTATAGAAGCACGTCTCGGGCGCGTCGGCCAGAAACTGCTTCAAGTCCATTACTGTGTCAGCTGGGTTCACCTGATTGGTGGAAACGGGGGGAGGAGGAGCGGGCGAAAGAGGGAACGCGGTATAGAAGCAAGTCTCAGGTGCGTCGGCCAGTGTTTCAAGTCCATTACTGTGTCTGCGGGGTTGACCTGAAACGGAAGGGCGAGTGGGAGTCGAGGGAGAGGGGAGGAAAGAGACGGGGAAGAGTCCGGCTTGGTGAGGATAAGGTCGTACGCGGTATAGAATCACGTCTCGGGGGCGTCCGCCAGGACTGCTTCAAATCCATCACTGTATCGGCAAGGTTCACCTGAAAGGGCGAGTGGGAGCGGGGGTGGGAGGGAGGGGGAGGAGGGAGGGGCGAAGGGGGGGGGAGGAGCGGGGGGGGAGGGGAGGGGGGGGGGGGGGGGGTGGGAGGGGGAGGAGAAAGAGAAGAGGAGTCCGGGTTGGCGAGGACAAGGTCGTAAGCGGTATAGAAGCACGTCTCGGGAGCGTCGGCCAGAGACTGCTTCAAGTCCATCACTGTGTCCGCTAGGTTCGCCTGAAAAGGCGAGTGGGAAGGGACGGAACGGGGGGAAGGGACGGGATGGGGGAAGAGAGGTAGGAAAGGAGGAAGGAAGGACGAAAAGGGTCCAGTGTGGGGAGTGAGGAAGCGGTAGGAAAGGAGGAAGAATGGATGAAATCCGTCAATCAGCTGGACGAAATCCGACAAACAAGCGTCGCAGCCTCCTCCACTGATAATTCAACGCGTGACATAGAATAACCTTACGTCATGCCATACGTCACCGCATACGTCAAGCATCTCCAGTGTTTCCTAGGTCCAGACGGAGGGACGGCTGACTGAGCCTACATTTGCTGGACTGTACTTCAGCTAGTTCAAGCGCAACCCAGTCTGAGGTCATTGCCAGTCAACTCTACCATACGTATCGTACTGTTTCTCAAGTCTACACGACCAAACCCTCATAAAAGAAATTAATGGCTGCGATTGTGGTTCTCTTTAATGCTTTAAGAGACTATAACACTTTACCGCAGTCAACTGGACCCATCACCGCGAGTAAAATTAATATCTTCTTCGGCGGGGCATTACCGTTTCTTTCCAAAGCTCTTTACCTCACGTGCCAGAAATGCGTACCTGCAGCGCTCTCAACCTACCTGCAGCGCTCTCAACCTACCTGCAGTTCGATCTCCTTTCCAGCAGGTCCCTTCACTGCCAGAGGGTACAGCTGAGGATCATCGAGGTGAGTTTTGAGTCGAGTCATAAGTATGCAACCGTCTCGACATACCTGCAATTCGATCTCCTCCCCAGCGGGTCCCTTCACCGCAAGAGGGTACAGCTGAAGCTCGTCCGCGTCCTTCTTAGCAACCCCATCACCCTCCCCCTCTGCCTCCCCCTCCCCCTCTTTCTTCTCCGTTCCCTCCCCCTCCTGTTTCTTTTCCTCCCCCTCCGTAGCGGCAGCATCTACTGCGGGAGCCGCGTCGGCCGGGGCGGCATCGGCTGGCTTCTGCTCTTCCGCGGCTGCGGAAGCAGCTGGCGGCGTAGTTTCCGCGTCGTTTCCCATGACGTCGTACCCGTTGACACGTGTCAATTGCTGACGCTGAGAACGACGGTCCTACGATCAGTGTGTTCACTGATTGGTCCTGGAATTGGTAATGCCGGTTGATCAACGAAGAATGGGGGGAGAAGAGAAGACAGTAGGAGTTTAAAATTAGAAGGCACGAGAGAAAATTGGAAATTAGTCGGTGCACTGCAAAACACTACATAGCGCTTGATATATACACAATATATGAGTATTATATTACTACAAAGCCGCCGTGCTTCTGTTATTTTTTTCCTACACGCATCTTAAGAAAACTCACGTTACCGAGACGAGCGGGGAGCGCGGCAAATCTCGGATCAGACAAACCGAATTAACTGCCGAAGCCTAGCCGTGAGGAAATCTCAGATGGCCGAGATGGCCTAGATAGAAAAAGAAGGATTCTAGAGAAGAAAAACAAATAGTAGTAATGCCTGAAAGGATGAATGGCTAAGGATTGGGGGAACGGCGGGGGAGATGGGGGGAGGGATTTGGGAAGATGAGTAGAATTCACGGGAAAAGGGGGAACGTATGGAGCGGAAAATGTAGGGGTGGGGGAATGGCTGGCGGAAACACGACAGACACGGGGAACAGGAATGAATGGAGCTGGGACAAAGATTTGGGCACAGGACATGTGGGGGGGACAGTGGCGGATGAGGTGGGACACGTGGCGGGTTTGGGGTTCTTTGGATGACCAATCTGTGGGTGCAGCGTGGCACTACAAGCGGGCGGAAGCTCTCAGAGTTCCACGTCAGTCATTCGCGAACCCAAGTCTGGCAAAAATACAGAAATGAGGATTCATTACAGGTTACAGAATCCACATGGCAACTTCATCTGCCTACACTTGTATAATGATATCATTCTTCAAACATCAATGAGTGCAGCTGCCAACACTTGTATAACACGGTCTTGCCCAATTTTGCTGAATTATATAATCAGATATTAAAAAGTTTTCTTACCTTTACATTCTCATGTCATTCAGGTTTATGATAGATAGTTGACGTAAATCTGCAACCCTTACCAAACCAGGAGTACTGTACATATAGTCTTCATATATATCTCAAGGTACTGTACAGTACCATACAGTCTTGCAAACATCAAACTCTCTCCGCCCCTCACAAGCTCCGCCTCTCCCCTCGGTGGTGGTGTCCCATTTTGGGGGGAAACTTCTGCAAGGCCGTGTTTTTGCATAGACTTCATGCAGTTGAATGCGTACCAATTTGTTCCCATGACGTTCCCAGTTCGCAAAACTGCTGATGGTATGCGAAGCAGCTGCTGTTGGAGAGGAGAGTTTTGAGATCGAGCATGACGAGAATTTACTTCAATCACGCCTCCGTAAAGCTCCGACCAGATCCCCCCTTCACCCCGCCAAACACTGCTCGCCCCGCGCCACCTTTCCTCCCAATCATCCCCCCGCACCCCCTCCCTCCCCCACAACATCCCCCCCCCCCCCCACCCCCAGCTGTCTAAACCCCCATCAGATCTCTCGCCTTTTTCCTGCCTGTAGCCCTTTTTGCCTCGTACATTCAACAATAAATCTCCTCTGGTTTCAACTATTTCTATCCGCCTTATTTCTTCTCTTCCTCGCCCCTTATATGTATTTGCTCGTTGTTCCTGCCCTCTCGCTGACTGGAGGTCGTGGCGGGCAGCGTGTAGGCTCCTGTGGCCTCTCTAAAACGTGCGGGGATGAGATGGCTTCGAAGACATACCTTCTAACAGGAAGCATGGGTGAAGCCGCATGGATGCAACCGTGGGTGAAGCCGCCTTGACTGGATGAAGTCTTGACATAAACTGCTGCAGAGTTGGTTCGGCCGTTGTCAGCAGCCCGCCGTACCAGTGTCCCATATGGAACGTGGCCCGGCTTCTTGATAACATGTGAGTTTCTGATTCGCAAGGTCATTGTTGGGTTTCTGTCGTCCGCGCATTTCGATTATGCCCTTTCCCACAGTTCTTCGTCAATGGCTGGCATATGATGTGACGTGAATAATCACTTATGCTACACTCTGATTGGATCGATGATCCGTGTAGAAATAACCATACACCTCTGACAATCTGATGCCAGATCTTCGCCGTCGTCCTCATGTTCGTCTATGTCATGATCCATGCTGTATTTTCGTGATGTTTTCGTACGTTGCTTTTTTTTTCGACATCTTGGTGAGCACAGTCACTCTACTCCCCCCTGGGCTGAGCTGATATCTGATGAAGTTTCGGTCCCATGATTGTGCGAGAGCTACTCGGTGCTTCGTGTTGCGGAGTAACAACTTATCCTGTGTGTGACTCTGTGTCAAAATAGCCCGTACATTGCATTCCGATTACGGCTTGGATCGTATGCTGCGGTGCAGCTGCTGCTCGGACGCCTAATCTGTGTCTCATTCTTGATTTGTGCATCTCAGGTGGAGGAAGAGAAGTTCGAAATGTGATGTGACGACGTTGACATTGACACGAGCGGATCTGTGATGTCATTTCCCGTGGAGGAAACACAGATCTGGTGTCAGAAGAAAAGAGACCGGTGGCGAACCTCGTATACTTGTGCTGCGTCATTGCTTGGGCATATTTCACTCCGTGCAAGTCAACGTGATTGTGTGTAATGAGCAGCCTTACTCTTGTAACCAATAGGTTTCTCAACAAACTGTTGAAAGCCTGACATTAAATTCTGACCTAAGGAACAAGTATTCAGCCTAAGGAGAAGACTGGTTACCATCAAGAAGTTGTGATCTAAAATTCATATGAACGGGTCACCAGGATGATTGAGTTTGTGGTGAATTTAGGGTACATTACTACGTCTTCGAAATTCGCGTCACAATCCTTCAAACCGCTCTGTACCGAACTGCACCTAAGTCCGATTTTTTTAATAATGTTTACAAAGTGGTACAATCTTGGATTGTGACGCGAATGTCTAAGACACGTCTTGGCAGGAATGGCGAATGTTCCACATCGTTCTTGCTAACGCCACCCTTCGTCTATACACGGAGCAAAGCCATCCCCGCGAATGCAAGGTTATTGCTGCTCCCGCTGCTGGAGCTATCTGCACCTGGGTTGAAGGCTGCTTTATCTCTCTTCTAAAAAAACCCAGTATCTGAGAGCTACTGTCAGATGCAACCAGCGTAAGGAATTGCACTGTTTTCTTGACAGTTCTCCAGCTAATCAGTGCTAACACCTTGTGTTTTAATGCCCAGGCGAGACACGGACAATAAGTACAACTCGAAAATCTCTGTACACATGATACGCAGAAATTCACCGAAAACTCAACTAACAGCTTTGCTACTAGCTGGGAGAATAGGAGCATCTTGTTGCCAAATAACATCTCGAACTATCTAAACACGCGAGCATTGTACTCAACAGAATATGGCAACGGAAACGCCTTAGCACTTGGAGCAGGTGCAGCTGCTACCGCACTTGCACTCGCCGCCGCTAGCGCAGCCGCAGCCACCGGCAGCAGCGGTCTTGCATCCGCAAGGGGCGTTCTCAGCAGTGCACGTGCAGCCCTCTCCGCAGCTACAGGTAGCGCCCGCGGCGGGAGCAGCAGCGGACTTGCATCCGCACGGCGAGTTCTCCGCAGTGCATGTGCAACCCTCCCCGCAGCTGCAGGTAGCGCCAGCGGCGGGAGCAGCAGCGGACTTACATCCGCACGGAGAGTTCTCCGCAGTGCACGTGCAGCCTTCGCCGCAGCTGCAGGTGGCGGTCGCAGCGGTCTTGCAGCCGCAAGGGGAGTTCTCAGCGGTGCAGGTGCAAGCCTCGCCGCAGGTGCAGGTGGTGGGGGCCATTGTGCTTGTCGAACACCGAATGAAGAAGGCCGAACACTAAGTTGTCGCTTGATGAGCGTATTTCAAAGCGTGAACTTGCAAGAGAGCTTGGAATAGTTGATCGAGCAGCAGAAATTGGAATGTCTGGATTGGAAAAGCGAGTGGTATTTGTAGGCCCGCTTCGCGACAGACGTGACGTGAAAGTGTTCGTTTTTTGCGGCGCGCTGGAGCTGAGGCAGGCGTGCGGTTGCACTGTTGGCGCGTGTCACAGAATCAACGCAGCGCGCTTCTAGAATGTTCGAAAGAGGTTATTCCGGTTTCGAATTACCTTCGTGGAATTTACCAGGAAGCTGGAACATTTTCCACTTCTGATTTATTATCTAAGCTGTAAGTGTCTATGCCTGATATCGAGCTGGTTCAAATCGAAGAAGCTTTTAAGCTGATCAAATGAAAGCGTTTGCGAGGGCCATTTGGTGTCGGCACATCGCCATGACACGTCGCAAGTCGCCACGTCGCCTATGTCGCCACGTCGCGCACCAGGTACCACATAGCGATTGCGTCCGACATCAAAGGAATGCGTGGTTACCAGCCTTCGTTTTCCCGCCAAATTCTCGTCTTTACTCAGAAACTGACATCCATGTTTTCCTCCTAGAGATTGACACGCCGCTCGTGTACAGCCACAACTTCAGCTGCATTGGCCTTACCGCCTCGCTTCGTTGTAAAAGCTGTTGATCAAGGAAAGAAAGGAATACATATTTATTTCCTACCCAGTTCTCGTACCGCCCGAGTTACGTTCCTCGAGCTTCATACTTCCGTTGTGATATATTGCCTCGTCAACCGCTGTGTTACCGCTGTGATCAAGGGCTTCCAGCGTTCGAAATCAGCTGATATAGATAGTATGGAAACCATAGCTTCAGGCGATGCGGGGAGTCCGGATGTCCCGGCCGTGGAAGTCACGGCTATGCAGTTCGCTTATCCCGGCGAGCCTCCGTTAATTTCCAAGTTTAACCTGACACTACCACGTGGCAGCCGTTGCCTTCTGATTGGAGCCAACGGTGCAGGCAAGACGACTCTCCTGAGAGTGTTGGCGGGAAAGCACATGGTTGGTGGAAAGGACGTCGTTAAAGTTCTCGGTCGCTCGGCATTCCACGATACAGCTCTCTCCTGCGACGGCTCTCTTGCCTACCTCGGTGGTTCCTGGAGCAAGTCCGTCGGCTGTGCGGTGAGTGTGCCTTGAAACGC